CTTAAAGAAACACTGGAGACCTGGTAAGCTGTTTCGTCCTAGTACGAAACTCCTCAGTAGTGAGCACCCATGACTGCACCAGCGTTCGAACCCAGAACCTTTGAGTTCCGCGGCCAGCACGTTAACACTAGATTGAAATTAATGGTCCATATTTCCTACTTCTGTCAGTTCACGATATAACGCGACCTTCGTCCAATGCCGTCGTTAAGTAATTGTCCTTATGTTCAACTTGGTTGGTTCTTCTCTTAAGTTCCCTTAGTTCACAAACCCTTAAATGAGGTCACGATAAATAGTATGAAGAAAGATGTAGATATTTAAGTATTGACCATAAGTTCCGACAGTGGATAAAACAAGAGTTCTCTTTCTTTAAACAAACTATACACAATATTTTAGTACACAATTCACCTAAAAAGCAAAATTTTTATAACCAGAAGTCAGTTCAACATCAGATGAGTAGCGTTATATGTACTGTTTGCCAATGAGCTTCATAATAAATGAAGGAGGCATGCCTACTTGCATATAATTATATTACCTCGTTCATCCGGTTCTTCATTATCAAATCGAAAATGAATAGAATTATTAAGGTAAGGAAAATGACTGATAAACCTGTAAATACAGTATTTCTGATATTCTTAATCGGCATGTAGTAGGCAATTCAAGACCTAGCTAAGCAGCTGATTTATGCTAATTTTAAAAGTTTTCCAGTTGAATGGCTCTTGAACTTCAGGGTTTTTAGCGAAAGCAGTTAAATCTCTTTAAATGGAACATGACTTCGTTTCCTTAGCTACCTTGATTAGAACTTAAAAATGTTCACTTCATGCTGATAGATGGCTTAGTGACTTGTAATCACCTTTTGCTGCCAATGCAGTTGTAGACTCAGATGAATGCATAACAACTCAGTTTCCTTGATGGTGGCTAGCAATATAATCTAGTATAATCGTATCATCCGACTCGAGGTTCGTCAGCTGGAGGCATCAGTTATTACTAGATAATGTGATGTTATGTTGAACTTTTGAAAGCCTAAAATGTAATAGGTAACTGAGAACATTTTCCCAAGGTTATACTCATAGTAAATTCAAGCACTACTGAAAATAGGTTTGTTAGGGTCAAAAGTATAACATAATTAAGCTACTCCATTATTTTCGAGTCAGTTTTCATGTAGAGGACTTCTTATTTGCATCATTACTCATATCTTAATTTATCAATTTACAATATACGTTCATGCTCTAATTGAATACTTTATATATTTCGCTCCACTATACAGTATATGGACATTTTGAAAATGAATATACATGCAGTCGATTGTTGAAGTTACTGGTCATCAGTCTGACTTCTTGAGTCGTGGTTTGGCAGACTTTTATTGATACTGCGTGATGATTGAATACGTGGATCTAGTTGCTGTCCAGATTCTAATTTCACCTTCAATTATCATGCTGTAGCAAAATTATTCATAACTATCTTGGATTTATTTACATTTCACGAAATTCTTGATTATTTCTTTATTTCTGCTCATTGTTCCTTTGATGATAATCAAGTATGTCTAATTAAAGCTGTCAAATGACATGCACCTGTAGTTCCATATGCATCTGGAGCAACCATCGATACCTGTAACCAAAATCAATAAAGCAGTTTCCAAAATGGCTGCAAGTATCAATTAAATTGAATAACCACACTGATCTAGGAAACAGCTGCCCAATTCTGTCGATAGCTAAACATATTATAGAAACGGATAACAAACTGTGTTTCCCATACACCTTTCAAACCTATTACGTTACGAAACCTACTCAGAGTTTGAGCTGTAAGGAAACTCAGACCTATTCAATGAATTCAAAAGAAACTCGTTGTAACATTGCATCTCTATCTACGATTTCACCTTTAAATAACTATTTCAAAGCGTATTCAGTCAGATGACATATGACGATCTACCATTAACTTTAGAAATCTACACACCAAACAGTAAATATATTTTCACAAACAGTCGTTATATTTTTTATGTTACCAGGACAACTTTACTTTCTCACTATTCAAAAGATGTAATGGTTTACTAGCTAAGTTCCATTTATAATTGGCCAACTTTCCTTCATTCCACAATGTCAATTCACAAAATGACCACCACTCAACTATTTTTGGCTAAATCCACTGTTAATAAACAACCGTCAGTAAGATAGGATAGTTACTTACAAGATATCTCTTCTACAAATGTGACAAAACATATGTTCTGAACCGTTGGTCAGAACTTTTCAAGCGTAGGAAAAACTTCATGTATCAACTAGCCATACATTCTAATATCTTCTAGCCAGAAGAATGCTTTAGTGATACACCATTCATACACACCTAACCAGCTTCTTATTTGCTACGCTTTTATCTTTATCATCATACCTTATCGAATATGAAGATTTCTGAAAGATACACCTTAACAACGAGTGCATGAGACTTAACTAGGTTCAGAGTTTTCTGTCGATTACCTCCAGTCACCTAGAATCATTCAAGGTGTACCACATCAGTGACATCTAGTTTGGTGATCAAAGTGAAAAGTGACTAATGGAATACAGCCAGTACTAAGGAAATGACAATACGAAATTGATCAGATCACCAGTGATCAATCCATGGACTCAGCATCACTCTAAAATCATGGCTCACACGACAATCAGTTGCGTAAAAATACCCTAGTGTTGTAGGGACTAAGTACGAATTTCATACGTTAACTTTGAATGAAATTATATATACAATATACCCAAGATTGACATCTTATCCTCGCATAAATATCTATGCCAATCATATTTATGAAAAACCTGTGCATTACGAAGAGAATCAATTTATTATAAATATATCTGCAATGAGTATTTCAACAGAATGATGCTATTTAATTTCGGCAATATTTCGAGCGGAACTACTGTACGTGGTCACATTAATCATTGAAATTATTTGTTCTACGACATCATCATAAACATTACTGAGTCTACTTTCAAAAACACCACCGATAACGAAGTAAGATAGTAACCTCAAGACGATCAGCAGTGAGTAATTCCACTGAATATTTGAAATACTAGGATATTAATCGACCTTTCATGGCCACTTTCACATGATGTTTTATCTAAGAAATACACAATAACTCTGAGTGGATATAATACCAATGTTGACCTAAAAGATGTTTGCAGTTGTTTAAATATCTAACAGGTGAACTCGTGAATGCTGGATCTACAGTATAGTTGAAGAGGAATCAGTTCTGCGGGATAAGCAAGAGATCTTAATGCTTTGTACAACAAGCGACCTTTCGATACACTAGAGCCTGATCAGTCTCAGTAGACATCTTTTGCAACTAGCAGTTGCATGTACGGATAAGTGACAGCAATATTAGCTATTAGAGCCCAGGGTTGATTACAGAGAGATGACACTCGATGGTATGCCAGTGCTGACTAAAAACAAGTAATGTGTGAGAGGTTCCCAAAAGTGATCATGACTATCCAACCTAAGGTTGAAAAGCTACATTCAGCATCTAAAAAAGCATACTCCTGACTAAGAACAATTCAATACACTCAAGTCTTCAGCGGATATGGTGAAATTTGTCGAGCATGCCTGATTGAAGTCAAACAGCTTAGATTAAAATTCACTGTCAATTGCTCTGATACCATAATTTCTAACGTTTAAATTGACGGATTGTAGAAAGAGGAAATGTTAGACACTATCAACATAAGTACCAAAGATAACATTTAATCAACTTTTGTCCCAAACGGTTTAAGAAACCGGGATCCAGTATATTAGACCAAGAAAACTTCAAAACATGTATTATACCCTCTAAGTCTATTTTGATGCATTAGGGTTCTGATAAACGCTTCTTATAAAGCCTTACCCTATACATTGCTCATTCTCTAAAGTTATACACACGAGCTTATGAATATTTAGAATCAGAAGAAATCAAATCAACTAACATCTAAAAAGGTGCCTCACGATAGTATCTTTCCTAGATTGGTGATCACATTTCAAAGTGATCGATAGGATTCTGTCAGCTCTCAGGGCTAGACAAAATGAGATTGGCCACTCTACAGTGACCAACCAATGCAGTCATCCATCTTCTTAACGATTTCAGTAATACTATAAACCTCTTATTGCAGGTATTATTATTAGTAGTAGGGTTAATGATTAACTACTTCATTTATGTGAAATAAAAACCATATTATTAAAGATTCTTAGTCTGAACTACACGATGAATGGAAAGACGGCTTACTCAATTCTGATTAACACCCAAAAAAAACTAACTGGAATGATTGAAACGACAATTGAACTTCATTTCTAAACTGAATTTGTACCGGTAGTCTCTGAATAAATAGGAAAGCATTCTTCTAGCACATTGTTACAATTTTGGTCATTATACTTCAACCACCGATCTACATGAACATTATCTGTATGATACTATAGTATTTGAGGATTAAAATTGGCAGATTGGTCTCTTCTATTAACGAAAACTAAATAAAAAAGAATTACTATTTGTTGGTATGCTTGTAATTCTCTGTTGTTTTATTGGATCGAATTGTCCGACCTCTAATGACATATAGGCTACTTTGAGAATGCCTCGATATTGCCCGAATATTAATCATGATAATCTATAAATAGGATGGAATGCGCCTCCTGAATGCCTCTATTAGCCATAACCAAGTAAACTATCACAATAAATATTCAGGCAATATCGAGGCATTCACATAGGAGCCCATATGCCAATGGAGGTCGAACAATTTGATCCAGTAAAACAACGGAGAATTACAAGCACATCAACAAATAGTAATAAAAAATACCCATTGTACGAGAGGTGGCTATCGTGCCTCAATGGCCTAGCAAGTAACACTTTAGTGTTTGAAGGGATGAGTACGAGGTTCGAGTCTCAACGGGAACAATACTTAATGGGGTGCAGGTACATCTAGCTGACGAGTCCCAAATAGAACGAAATGCGCATCCTAGATTCCCCTGAAAGCCACAACCAGGTAAATTATCATAATAAAACAAAATTCGTAAAACCGAAGTTTTTATTCTACATCATAAAGTTTAAAAATGTACACGTACTCTGAAGGAGTTTAAGACTAACTAATCGCAAATCATACAAGTAGAAAAATAGTTTATCTTTTAAAGATCACATAAAATCTAATTCATACAAAATAACATACATCAAAAGACAAGGCAATACATAAGATCTATGTTTATTTTACAAGAGTGAAACAGTATCTATGGGTAAAATCTCATAACCGCCAAGCATTGTTTTAATACAGGAATATAATTCTCCCAGTTTCGTATTCTGTTTAATATCCTCTGTATTTGGGTTATGATAACCAGTACAGCCAACAATGATAAGTTTATGCTGTGCACGTGTTAGGGCAACAGTTAATCGAGGTAAGTCTTCAAGCAAGTGAATTCGATTTGACTCAAAATACTACAAAAAAATTTGTAAAGAAATATCGAAGGATTATGACTGGATAAATTAAACACTTGGTAATTACTTACTTGAGAGACTTATGTTTTGAGCGGAAACGACATTTGATGTGTAAAAGTTTAGGATACTATCCAGATTATAGTCAGATGAAACGGGATTCACACATATGATCTAATGCTTTAAATTTGAGTGCATAAACCGATAAACTGAAATTCATGCTGAATGAGTAGGTATTCAAACTAACTATAAACTTTTGTGTCGTTAATTGTATTATCTCATCGTTGACTCGGTGGTCTAGAGGATAGCGCACTGGCGTCTAAAGCGGCCGGTTTCGTGTTCGGGTCTTAATGGGAATAACATCACTTATTGGGTGTAAATACACCCAGCTGAAGAGTCCAAGACAGGACGAAACGCGCATCCAGAATTTCACTGACAGCCACTACCCATCATTAACACTTAAAAACTACTCATTTCTAGTTGATGAACTTCAAAAAACTGTGCCAATGGGTAGGAGATAATATAATCTAATACAAATGATTTTACATTACGTAACCGTACCTAACAGTTTCGAGTATATTTGCAATTAATAAAATATGGCACACTACGCAGGACATTGCAATACCTTGAATTTAGTCATAGGAGCCTATGATATTTTGCACATACTACCACCAACACCCACTCATCCAACTTAAGGTATCTCAGCCAAGCAAACTTTAAAATGTAGGCTTTATAGCTTTTTGAAGCCGCAAAGGAGATCATTTGATCATAAAAATACTGAACCATGTTTTATAGTAGTATATCAGAGGAAGAAAAATCTAACGATAAATAAGGAAAACAGAAGTGACTATACAGGCTACTCTAGCAAGGAATGAAATGACTAATCCGGCTATGGTACTTCGCCTGGAAAAGTACTTATCCATGACATGAAGAGATATAATTGGCTGTCTCATCAATTGCTAGGGTGGTCTCTAAAGTCACCCGAAAACAGACATAAGACGGAGTGACAGTTCGCAGTGTCGCACCTCATATTACAGCATCAACATGAAAATCAAAAAGAGGAAAAATAAATAATACTAGTAGGTATAAGAAAAAGAAAGCAGGAGACAAAACAAAGTGTGATATTGTAACCTCGATGAGTAGAAAGTATGGTCCAAGCCAAGGTTTGGATAACCATCTAGGTAGTATCACTAGCCCTCACATATAATAAATAGGTATGGCACATTACTTGTTGCATGAATGTGCACAAGGTTGCCGAGAGTATTCCGATAAAGTATGCATGTAAGTGCACAAAAAAAAATCAATTTTCAATCAATAATCATCGATTTCCGTTGTCAAATACACGCCAATTAGATAGGCTACGTTTGCCTAAAATGATTCACAATAATGATCAGAGTACCTTCGCAAAATGAGCAAATGTTAACATACTGTTACCTTAACAGAGAGAATAAGCGAATGAGTTGTAGAAGGATAGGAAAAATTTCATAATTTACATTACCGAAATTAATTACTATTGATTGGTATGAGCAGAGGTGCATACTGTTGCCAGTTCATGCCATATACTCATTGTTCAGTCGCTAAAACAAATACCTAAAAGGTCAATCAGTTCCAAGTAAATTGTCAACAAACTCTAAAAAAATATGTCTATAATTATCCTGATTGAAATAAACCCTATTGTAAAAAAAGGCACAGATCAACATTACCTCATTCTTATCTTTTTTCAGCATTGAAGGACAATTAGTTAGACAGAGTAAAATTAATCTTTTATCACGACCTTGAAATTGATCAACAGTATTCACTTCAATATCTTCAAATGAATTTTCTTTAATTTTATTTTTCAACAAAGAAACCTGTGCTCTATATGGTGCAATGATGCCAATGTCTTTGGAATTAAGCGTTAACTAAGGCAGAAAATAAAAATCAAGATATTGTTAAAATTATTATCATTATTATTCTAAGGATAAAACGAAGTTGATACATGCAAAACTTGGATACATTCGTGTATGGTAACACCTGATCAAAACATATTTTGAATAATAAGTATTGAATAAGCGAAGATAACTACTTTTGAGGTGAAAATAATTTCCTTTGTTGATAAGATTTCTCGCTTTTACGTACTCTGATCATTTCTGGGAGCATTTTGGTCATTAATTCATTAAGTCATTAAGTCTAATAAATTACAATAAACTTGAACCGATTTCCTGGTGACTGAATTATAAACTATTAGTAATTGGATGAATTAAAAATAAAATGCAGAGAGCACGTTTCATTCTCTTTCCAAAAATAAGAAGTATGTGCAGCATTTATTTCAGCACCTGAACTGAAGTTTGTCATGCTTTTGTGTCTCAACCAATATCTTCTTGACCTGACGATATAACCACTATTACTGATCATAACTTCAGTCACCTTATGTGAGGATTTGATCACGTTATACACTATTGTCAAATCAAGTAAGTTAGAGAGAAGACAAGTGTACTTCACCAGCCAGCAGTGAGTAATAATATATTTTACAAAATGTATGGAAAATGTCTAAGGCCTAAAATGTGCACATAGCTTAGTTATAAAGTCAGAGAATGAGAATAAAAGGTAGTGAAGCTAAGGTCACTTACAAATGACAGTTAATAGTTCTCAGAAAAAAAAAAAATAAAAATTGAACTAAATATCTTCCGCAACGATTTAGATTTATTAAGCATACCGACAAAATGAAGACGATGGTAGGTGAAATCATCACCAGGAAGGATGGAACGCTGATAACCACCCAGGACAATCGGCTAGAACATGGACTAGAGCACTTTGAAACACAGTTCAACTTGTCCTCAGCAACGCTTCAGTTGCCAAACATCTAACCTGAACCTGAATGGGACGTGTGTGTCAGATCATCAACTCTCTAAGAAGTTGGGAAAGCTGTATCGAACCTGAAACGACACAAAGCAGCAGGACCTGACAGTGGTCGAATGTGTCTATACTTACTTACTTACTTGGGGATATGCATTAGCCCGAATGGACTGGTTCTTGACAAAATCCCAGCTCGGATACATAAGACCCACTTGACATTTGCCAGTTTGCGTCATCTGTGGCATCCACTGAAGATATCCATAGGACGAGTATAATGCGCTGCAATCCGTTCTATTTTGTTGTACGTCTGTGAGAACTGAAGAAATTTCAGGGTTTTGATCACAATTGTCTTCATAGTCATGCTCGCGTTTGGTGAAAATCATCGTGAGAACAATGTTGGGGTCAGGTGAAGGGTATTACGAGGGATCGACAAGTCTACTGATGAAGTGGCGAATCCTCGCCAACTGACGTGGCTCACACATGTACTGCGCATACCAAGCCGCCGCATAACTCGATATGCTATAGTCGGGGAAGTTGGATTAGGTTAGAAGAGGGTTCAGGGTGGCAATCCAGGACATGGCACCAGTCAATGAAGGTTCGCACTGTTAGCCTGAGTCGTGTGAAGAGATGTAGACTGCCTGGTTGGGGTCCATGAAACGAAAAGAATTAGTGGTCGGGGACTGACTCGTTATGAGATGGCTGAAAATCGGTCGCAATGGCGCAGATGCATTCACTCCTCAACATCCAAAACTCGAATATTTGCTCTAACCTTCATCGCCAGGCTGTTTATTCTATCATACTAGTTGATCTACTTTGATTTTAGTCCTTTTCTATCCACCCGTTCTTTGTGTTCTACTGTGAAGTATAACAACTTGAGCCGATGTACTTTTATGAGAGCTTCTACGTTGATTTTATCAGTCACTCAGTTACAACCCAAGTTTACCACGGTACAGTGTTATGCACCATGCATACGAGATATGTCAGTCTTTTTTACAACGGGTATCAACTGAAGCTTCAACTTGTGATTTTCACCTGCTTCTTTGTAACACTACACATCTACTGATTTAAATAGTTCTCCAATTCACCGAGTAGCTTAGTCATCATCATCATCATTATCAACATAGGACCAGGCATTACTGCGTAACGGTCCGAGTTGCCACACCTCATATCAGCACATCAAGTAAAAAGGTAGTGAGGTGAAGGATGAAGATAAGTGAATGCAGTCAAAAGAAATATAAAGTACGAGAAGAAAGGAAAGAGGAGTGACAAAATAGTGAGATTCGGTATAGCGTTGTTAAGATGAGGATAATGTGTGTATACATCTGCGCCACTGACTTCGGTTCTGAGCCATATCACCTAGGGTCTCCAACCACTGGTTCCTCTTGTCCCGTGGACCCCAACCACCTAGTCTGCATCGTCCTACATGGCTTAAACCAACAGTCAGAGACTTCATACATTGGTGCCATGTTTTAGTCTGGCCACCTCGGGCCTTTTTCCAGCCTGAACCCACCTCAGCCAACATTGTGTGACGAGGCAATCGGTGACTAGGCATACGTAGTACGTGTCCCAACCATCTCAGTCGATGAAGGTTCACAACCTCGTCGACTGACTTACCTCTTCTCCCTAAAACTCTACACCTAACTTCTGCATTACTCACATGGTGACACCACGGAATACGTCCTATACTACGAAGGCAACGGTGGTCAAATACCTGTAACCTTTTTTGTCTTCCACTTTCAATGGCCATGTTTCACAGCCATACAGTAGAACAGAGCGGACTGCTGTGCAGTACACGCGACCCTTAATAGACAAACGAATATCACGGCGGCGCCATAGGTGGCGCAAATTGGCAAAAGCCAATCGAGCCTTTTGTATCCGTGCAGAAATCTCATCGGCAACTAACCCACCGGGTTGATCCTACTTCCCAGGTAAGTGAAGTGGTCAACACACTCAACCACTTCACTCTCTATTGTTAACCGCGGTACCGCTGAAGACCAGTCCTGGAGCAAAAATTTGCATTTGGGTGGTGAAAATCGCATCCCAAACATTCTCAAATTCCCACTCAAAGTGTTCAGAAGACTCTGCATCTTGTCAGCGTCTTCACCTAACAGGACTATGTCATCTGCATATTCTAGATCTAAGGAAAATTCACCTGTGATCGGGTCAACGTCTTTGTAATTAGGTGACGAGAGGGAAACCTCCATAAGAATATCTATGATAAAATTAAATAAGAATGGGGATAGTGGGCATCCTTGACGGACACCACTTGATGAGTATAGCTCCCTGGACAACTCACCATAGGCTCTAACATGCCCACAAGTGTTCGAGTAGAGAGCTTTCAATAAGGTGATGTACTTACTAGGCACGCCTTTCAGTGACAGACACTGCCATAAGACTTCTCGATCAACGGAGTCAAATGCCGCCTTCAGGTCGAGAAATACAGCTATTGTCGGGCGTCTGTAAGCATGCCTATGTTCCAGGACCTGGCGCAGTGTGAATATTTGGTCGATACATCCACGGCCAGGTCTAAAGCCTGCCTGGTTTTCTCGGGCTTGCTGTTCCCGAGCTCCACTCAGGCGTCGGAGAATTATAGAACTTAGGATCTTAGACACTATGTTTGTCAGGCTGATTCCTCTGTGGTTATCACAAGAGGACTTCTCGCCTTTCTTGAAGACTGGGATGATCAGTGACTTAGACCAGTCGGAGGGGATCGTATTTGATTCCCATATACTGGCTAACACTTCCGTTAGCCTGACTAAGAGAACTCTACCACCATTCTTGTATACCTCAGCAGGTAGTCCGTCTGGTCCTGCTGCCCTTCCCCGTTTCAGGCTACCTACCGCTTTCTCAACTTCTTCTAGTGTTGGGGGACCTGTCTCTATGTCCCATTCAGGGTCCGACTGGATAGCGGGCAGCGCAATGGTGGCTGGAGGCCAGTTAAACTGTTCCTCAAAGTGTTCTGCCCATCGTCCCAGTCGCCTTCCCTGCGAGTGAATCGCCGATCCGTCCTTCTCCGCTATAACCTCACTAACTGTTGTTGACCATTTCCCCCCAGTCTCCTTAATAAGTCTAAATAACTGTCTACTGTTACCGATCGCCGCTGCCTTTTCCATCTCTTTAGCCTTTGCTGCCCACCACTGTTCACGATCGTTGCGCAGACTTTTCGTCAGTTTATTTTTAAGTTGCGCTCGCTCTTCATTGTACTCAGAGCCTGCAGGGATGCATTCACGTGCATCCATTAGTTTGGAAGAAGCTGCTGATATCCACTGGCTCTTTTTAGCCATTATCTTGGAGTCGGCTACAGTCTCCAGTGCTGCTTTTACAGTAGACTGAAGATGGCACCAAGCTTCTTCTGGATGAGTGACAGTCTTTTGTTCCGATAACTGCCTAGCCAACTTCTCACTGAACACGGCTTTGGTGTTTTCGTTGTCCAGCAGAACTCGTAGTGGTTTTGTTGCCAAATTTTTTCTACGTCCATTGAGACGCAGGCATATACGTGCTCGGACCAACGCATGATCGCTGTCCAAACACGTACTCCAGAAGGAGCGGCAGTCTTCCACCGATCCTCTCCAGCGATGACTAATAGCAATGTGGTCTATCTGTGTCCATCGCTGAGTCGAGCTCGGTGGACGCCAGGTCAGACAGTGCCTTTCTTTATGTCTGAAATTTGTGCTGGCTAAAAATAGGCGGTTATCTGAGCATAGTTGTAATAGGCGATCACCGTTATCTGTACGTTCAGCTGGGATTCCGAACAATTTCCCAACTACCACTACAATTCTATTCTATAACAATTATTTTAATAAAGTGATTATAACAAACTACTCTAAGAAAACCAGTTTATCTAAATAAACCTTCTTGATCAAACAAATGGTTGGTAACCGTATCATGCAGTGGTATAGACTATTTTAAAATTTATCTAAACAGAGTACAATGATTTATCGCATAAAAATCTTCGAAAAAAAAAAGACTTACAACATCAACAGATTTTTTGATGATATATAGAATTAATTGTGCTTCAGTTGGATTAGAATTTGTTGCATGCGATTCATTCGATGAAGAAACGCAACAATCAAGCTAACAAAAAGAAAATAGACAATACAATTCCTTGATTGAAACCTTTTTTCTCTTTTTAAATTTTAGAAGAAATATGAACGTAAATTGGGAATGGTATCACGCCAGCAACATAATTTGTGATCAAAGAGTAACCAAAAAACAAAGCAGTAGCAAATTATCAATCAAGCTGAACAAGCAATATATGCTTGGATACTATAGGTGATATGACTCAGAATCGATTTCAATGGCACACATGTATCCAAACGTTATCTGCATAATAATCATATCGAATTTCACTATTTTCTTATTCTGCTTTATTCCCTTTTGATGAATCTCCATCAATTTCGGATACTTTCTTGTTCGTTTCTTCGGCTTTTATTCAAGTGCATTTTTGCTTGACGTGCTAACATGAAGTGTGTCAACTTGAACCGTTACGCAGTAATGCTGAGTCATATTATTATTATTATTACTATTATAATACAAACATAGTTCAGCAAGTGCACCAAGAAATGCGCCACATAATATAACAACATTACGAAGACATAAAGTGAAGATAAGTGGATACACAAGAAAGTAATACACAATAAAAACAGAATGATTTGCAAGGAGATTCAACAAGATACATTCAAAAAAACACCCATTCCTTCTCAGTATTAGAAGACAGGAAGAAGCGACAGTATGACCATTATTGGTTTCGACTGAACTATATCTGATAACGTCTTAAGCCACTCAGTTGCATACAGGAAGTCATGATGTATCAACAGGTGTTTAAACGATGCATCTATCCTTCACCCCATGGTGTTACGTCATACACTGATCTCTCCTCGGACTCTCCCATCCAGTCCCAGGGCTAGCAAACATTGAACAGTATGGAAACCGTTCAGACGACATACGTAATACATGTCCAAGTCACCGAAGTAAGTATTTCAAGATGACTTCACTAATTGAATGATGATTCCCATCATGCCCAAACAAATGCTGTTGTACCTTACGATTACTTACATGATGTTGCTACCGGATACGAGTAAGCCTACGGAGACAACGATGATCGAACACACTAAGTCACCGCTTATCCTCAGCTCAGAGAGGCTGTTTCACAGGTATAGAGCAGAACTGTTCACACTGAAGTGTTGTAAACTCGACCTTTTACGGTCAGACTAAAGTCGCAATGGCACCAAAGGTGGCCCAGATTAGTGCACGCCACTCCGGCTTTCGATATGCGGTTAGAAATTTAATCATGCACACTTCCATTAGCAGTCACATAGCCACCCATATACACGAACGTTTCGACTACTTTCAACGGTTCACCAACGACAGTGAGTGCAAGCACAGACTCCTAAAAATTTTGGAAAAGTACTTCGTACTTCGATGGTACAAAGGAAATATCAAATCATAACAGGAGATGGCAGACTGAAGAGCAGTATACTCGTTCTTTAACAGGTAGTCGGAAATCTAGCCAATCGGTGCCGCAGATGACGCAATCTGATAAATGCTGAGCTGAGATTTTGTACGAAAAGAAAAAGTATTCACACATGCATAAAATGAAATCACCAAGTATGTTAACATGAGGTTAATGTTTTTTTAATAGGTCAGTCAGGTAACACTTACTTTCTTTGTATCCAACAGTAATAAAGAATCAGAGAGCAATGGACTTATTACACGTTTGATCCATAGTGGTAACTGCAATAAAGCCCAAAACAATAGCCATTTATGAGAAATGCAACTACAATAAATTAACAAAAAAAAGGCATGCCCTATAAGAGGTATAGCTTTACATTTCAATTCACATCAGGTCTCACAGACAAGCTTGGTATGTATTTTCTTATTGTTAAGTGTTTTGCTATTTGAGATACCATGGTAACAACGAAATTCGGATCGAAAAATGACAAGAGTGAATATATGAATTTTAGTATTTCGTACAAACTCAATGTTTTTCTAACTATACACTCCATCCACATAAGTGATGCCTTTAGACAAAGAAGTAGATGTCTTTGTTATCTACAGTTAATATGAAATTAGAAATGTGGTAAATATTTAACAATTCTCAGTCACATAAACCGTTACAGTAACACAAATTGTTTCCAGATGAAGATACAGGGGAGAAACTAGTGATTTTACAGAAGCTATGATGAAGTGAGATAAAATACTGAATATTATTTACTGTTTACAATGAACTGGTGAATCTTTGGCTCATTGGTTTAGGGAAATGACTATCAAACAGTGGGTCAAGGGTTCGAACTTTGCCTCACCTACCTAGGTCTAGGTAGCCTTTGGAGTAGTATCATAAGGCCTAATGTGTATGGCTCATTGCCTACTGAGTGCATTTCGATTTCGACTAACACCGAAATGCTAATTAATTCCAGAAAACCCCATATACCATTAATTATCACAAATTCAAAGGATTTTTAGGTATGTATCACATATACAACTATAATTCTTATTATGTTTAAAAAGCGAAGGTGTTGCGAAAAAAAACAAACAGTGGGACTGTTAACCGTTTGTGCGTTACAGTCTTGCACTAAAACTAAGGCAATTATTTTTCCACCTGTTTAGTTGCTAATCTACCATTCATATGGAGACATTTCTGACACTGAAACAAAAAAAAAAAACAACACCAACACAAATAATAAACAAACAAGTAACATATGTAGAAAAGAAAATGAAACATAAGCTGTAAAAATCAAAGATTTCATTCACCCAGAAATGTGATACATATATATATATATATATATATATATATATATATATATATATATATGACTAGACTAAAATAGCAACAAGAAAAGGTGCATATTTAAACGCTTCTTTAACGTCCTATACATAATCACCTTTGTGCAAGTGTACGCGTAACGCTAACTAACAGAAATTGTAGCTGTAAATTTTTATTTGTTTTCCCGTGTTTCTACTCATTAGCATTCAGATAATGGCTTTCACTTTCAAATACAACAAAAATTTTTTTCACAATGTACTTATGCCTAATTAAATAGACAAGACAAGACAAGACAACACAATAGGTAGGTGAAAAGTAACAGCTATGCTGTGAAATACAATCAACAGTTTTTAATATGAATAGTAACAATTATGAGAATGTAGAGAAAAAAAAATTCATCTTTTTATCTTTCAATTTACCTTTTCTAAATTTTTATCTGAAACTCCAGGTTTCAACTGTATAGTGGATTGTGCAACAACCGAATTAGCACAAGACATTTTATTCTGATAAGCCAAATAATTAGTTAGAGTTAAAATATTTGAATTCATGCGGTATTGAATTGTCAATTCAATTATATGTTCTTTATTTGAATAGTCTATCGATGAACCAATCGTTTTCCTTTCATAAGTATCCCCAATACTATAATTCAGTAGTAGTGTAAAAAGACTTTGATCTAACCCACCATTCCTAAACAATAGATTACGATAAAAGTAGAAAAAACAGAAGTAAAATTTGATAGAGAAAAACGGAATACAGCTGTAAAACTAACATAATAAAATAGTTTCTATAGTCTGAATGGGTTACTCAGAACGAACCATACGTACAGATGTGAACGATTTATCAATTTCAGCAACCATAATTAAGGCTAACATAAGAACAAAACATTTGTCCTGTAAGAGATCGTAATTTCACTTCATATGTACTGTGACACGATATCATAACTCGAAATTATGGAGTTACCTGGATATGCAAATACGGACAATAAACTGTGTACAAAACATTGTACATTGTATTCTTTCATTGTGATGCATTAGATCGAAAAATTGATCCGTCACCTAATATGGATTTACGCTATCAAGACATCATAATCATTGATATGACCACAGGATCAGGCATTACTGAGTAACAGTCCAAGTTACCACATATCATATCAGTACATCAAGTAACAAATCAGTGAGATAGGAGATGAAGAAAGAAAGGAAAATCAGCTAAAAAAAAAAGGGAGGAAGGATGAGAAAATGGGGAATTCACTGTAGCGGTTAGGATGATTTGTAGAGACATCTGCACCACTGACATCGATTATCAGCCATATCACCAAGTCTCCAACCACTTGTTTCTGTAGTTACGTGGACTCTAACTGCCTAGTATGCATCTTCCAACACGGCTCAGGTCAACAGTCAAGAATTTCAATCAGTGGTGCCATGTTTTAGTCTGGCCAAACCAAGTCATTTTCTAGCTTGAACTTATTTCAGAAAACACAGTGAAGAGGTAGTTTGGTGACTAGGCATACGTGGTAAATCCCCCAGCCATCTGAATCTATTGAGGTTCACAACCTCACCAACTGACTTTCCTTTTCTACCTAAAACGTTACATCTGATTTCTATCTTACTGAAGTGGTGATACCATAAAACAGTATATGCTACGAAGGTGACGGTAGTTGAATCCATGAACCCACTTGATATCCTGTACTTTGAATGGCCATGCTTCATAGCGATATAGTAGAACAGAGAGAAATGCACCTCAGTACACTCAGTCTTTAGTTGGCGAAGACCAGTCGAGCCCTTGGTATACGTGTAGACGTTTTGTCAGTCACTGACTCACTGGGGTTGATTTGACGTCTAATCTAAGTGCAGTAGTCAATACACTCAACCAATTCACTTTCTACTGTTATCCAGATGGACCACCGAAGACCAATCCTGAAGCAACAATTTGCACTAGGGTAACGAGAACCGCAGCCCAAACATTCTAAAATTGCCGGCGTCTTCACCTAACGGAACAATGTCACCTCCGTATTCCAGATCCACCAACGATTCCCCTGTGACAAGATTAATTCCTATGAAGTCAAACAATGAGAGGGAGGTATGTATAACTACTTCCATGATAAAATTGAATGGAAAATGAGAGAGTAGAAATCTTTAACAGATGCCACTCGGTGTACACAGCCCACCATAGGCTCGAAAATGCTTACGGATGTTTGAGTAAAGAAACTTCAACAGAGTGATACTTACTCACCACTCCAAATACACTTTTGTGGACTTTGTTTACCATGAAGATCAAACAAGAAAAGCTTAATAACCAACGGAATTTTGTGACACATGCAGAGATACCCGCTCAACAAAACCATTCACTTCGTTATACCATATCAAACACTAATTACACCTACAAGGTTGTGGTTTATTGGTTTAGGTCAGGATTTATATCAACACTCTACCTACTAAGGTTAAGGGAGCCTGACAATATCATTGGCTTCACAAAACAGAAGTGCGGCTCACTGTCTATCGCACGAATGTGTGCAATGCTGCTTAGCATGTTTCCATTTTCAAATCACATCTAGGCTTCATTCAGCTAGTCCCATAGTTAGTGAACAAAGAATGGTATGAAGGTGTATAGGGTGGGGTTCAGTCATTCTTGTTGCATGCATGTGTCTGATGATAATTCGATAAATAAAGTTTCAGTTATCAATCTCACCCTCCAACCTCCACTAAGTTTCACGGTCTGCCACCTTATTCTACATGATTATGTGGTTGTGTGTGACTCGATGCATCGAAATTGCTGAGCTTTTCTTTAGATTCGCTACCTTATTTTGGTCTGTCATTTTGGATTTGGTCAAGTTTTTTGTGCTGTTATTTTAATCGAATACTTGACCTCACAATCATTGCATGAAACCTGATACGCTAAATTATTTTCTCTAGTAGCCTCTATAGGGTCTTTTAGCCTTCAAATCTTGTTTCTTGGTAAGGCTGTAGGTTAGAATATCAGCTATGCTCACAATCCTGTATAAGTTTTCAGAGGTACCTTCCTTATATAGTAACACCGTGGGGATATCGAATTCTTGTTTCTTCGGGTTGCCATTATTACTATCTATATTACCTGTGTCTCAGTTTCTCCTCTTTTTTTATAGTTTCTGATAAATTTCTGAATCCCTTTACGAAGATGATTAATGAGCACCAAGTTTTATTTTGTTGATTTTCTGTTCTGCTGCTTAGAACTTCGGTATCTTATGTAAACATTTCATTTAACCTATTTAAATTAACATGGGATGGGATGACCTGAAGTGTAAGGATCGATTAGGTTTTCTGTTGACATTGGTGTCTAAGAATTCATCTAGTCTCCTTTTTATTCTATAATCCAACATAGCTAGTTCTCTTTCACCACTCTTTAATTCATATACAATGAAATTTATGTGTGCCAAAAATTTATCAATATGCTCTGACTCCAACGCTGTAATTGTTTCATCTACTTACCTTCATCCTTTTTTTTGGAGCAAGCATAAATGTCCGAAGAGCTGTTTGTTCCCAACTATCTATGAATATTTCTACCAGTATTAGGGATAGACACACTTGCTGATCACACAGAGCACACTGAATCTCCATCATTGACTATACTATTCTTACAATTCAAAATTACTGAGAAAATTTCTGTTTAAAGTGCTTTCAAATATTCTGCCAAGTAAAGTTAACAGTCCTTAGGTTGAAAGCTTTTAAAGTACTAAGTGGATAGTAGATACAACCTCTACAAATGAAATCTTCGTTAGTGATATATAGACCCGCCAGTCTCATACTAAAAAGTCACTTAATATTGCAGTAGATACTTTACAAAGTTCATTGGGTATATCATGATGTGTATCAGTAATACGCATACTGCAATGATCATTTCAGTCAAATCAATGTGGTTTTAATCATAGGTCGATAAAACTAGAAAAACTACCAGCACTTAGAGTAATGAACTGCTGGTTTATTTTGTTTAGTAACACTGCGTACACAAGTACCTACATATAACCCTCATACAGCTTGGCTACAACATGTATCATTGAGCCAAACGATTTTCTTTCATTGGCTGTTTTCACTCTTAATTTATTCGTGGTACACTGTGACTTAATCCATTAGTATCAAGCACTACATGTCAAAGAAGAGTTTTTTTGAATGAGAAAAGGGGTCACGAGATTGCTATTGAGCATTACTTAAATTGTGATACCTGTTCGACAGGTATAATAAAAGTCAAATGTAAATAACACTTAACCACTGTGTGTCATATCAAAAGGCTAATCTTATAAGGAATCGCACTCTACGACAGTGCTTCAATTCGATACTAATAAATGTAAATTTATCGAGAATCTGTGATCAAACAGCCAAGGATGGAAGTACCTACAAACAGCTAAGAAAATTATCATGTAGCAAAACTGTTTGTGTTGATATACTTTCAAAACCAAGAAATGGAAATGAAACTTAGAAATTAAAAAAGTCAATTGTAATTATTTTGCCTTCATCGACTTAAGTCTTTCTCTCACTGAGACAAAAATGTCTTAGGTTCCACGTTTAGAATGAAAAACGGAATTCATAGAGACAACGGAAGAATGAAAATCATATATGTACTTAAATAAGAAGAAACTTTCTAAAACAAAGCCAATTATTAACTACTAACTGATCAGATGAAGCAAACCAATTACTCTTCTCTGTTCCAGTAAACAATAAGCAAATATCTCTTAAAATCAACAAATGCGTTTTGAAAACTGTAACTAACTTAGCCTTTTGGCTTCGAACTAAAGGGGGCAATTGATATGGATCACCAACTAGTACAAATCGACAACATCTTACGCCATTAGATTCTTGTTCTGTCCTTAGACATAATAACGGTCCCAAAGAAGTAGGACACATCAACTGACTGGCTTCATCAATTAGGATAACATCAAATTTTTGATATGTCAAAGCTGCGTGTCGCAAATCATTTCCTCCACTTGCAGTCAATGCTGTGCACCCAACAACAGCCTAAGATCAAGAAGAAAAACAAGCGCGTTAAACTGAATAAGAAATTACCACTGAACTGCATATTTGCAGGGAACACATGAATGGGAATCAATATAAACAATCACAACCAAGTCAAAAAACAAGATTTTTAAGAGGAAAACTGTTGCATCTGATCTCTAAGTTAATAAGACACAAATCGAATACGTTTTAGAAAGTGCCTACAAGTTTGCATGCCAGCTTCTGAAGCCAGGAGAGGGGTATGCAGAGTAAAGAACCACTATGGCACTGGGAAGATAGTTAATGCCGTCTGTAGATAAATGGGTCGTCATACTGAATCAAAATCCCAGATCCACCTTCGAATAAATTTTAAACAGGTAGTTGGAAAGATGCTAAACTGAAGAGAAATTTAAAGTGACAACACGAAACACCCACTATTAGACAGAAAACACTTGCTGGAAAGCTTCGAGTCTCAAACAGCCTTGTGAGTGTTAATTATTCCCGCACAATCGCTACCAGATTGAATTGTTCGACTTCCGTTAGCAGATGAGCTATTATGTGGATGCCTCGACAATGTTGTGCTATAATCTTACTTGGCGGCTGGCACTAGAATCCAGGATATGCGTTTCGTCCTATTTGGGACTCGCCAGCTGGATGCATCTACACCTCGGTGGATGATGGTGTTCCCGCTAGGGCTCAAAATCATTGGCCTTCACCTCAAACACCGAAGCCTTATCCACTAGGCAATTGAGACACGAAAGTCACCTCTTGTAAAACGGGTCTCGGCTATCACTATTTACCGATACTTGTAACTTCCCGTTATTTTAATGGATTGAACAGTTCATCCGTTGTTGGCAAATGGGTTCCTACGCGGATGCTTCGATGGAAGCTAGGAAGTATCACCCACCCATACGCTTTCGAAAGTAACCGAAAATCATTCAAACATAACCTATCCTCTTTTTCGCATTTTTCTTCATCGCCATTTCTGGATACTAATATTGAGTTTCTTACAACATCCTCAACCTCTCACTCATCGACCACTGTGAACGATTCAAGCCAGCGAAACACCATTCCAAGTCTCCTTAGACCCTACTGTCAGTTTCACATTAAGTTTTCAAGGTCCTAACCATGTACTAAACAGGACACTAGACATCTTTCACTAGGACTCTGGCGTCTCGAACCATGGGTGTATGCTGTGTCTCGGAGACACGAATACAAAATCCGATCATATCATAGCACTGAGCTGTTGAGCAGGAAATCGGCTTCTGGACCGGATATTAGTCAACAGCTATATATGTGCTGTTCGACTGAATCGGTCTGTAAGGACTGCAAAAGACCATAACTATTAGCAGTCCCCATTTACGTACCCACCAACTACATATCAGATGATGCAAAGAATAAATTCCATCAAAAGTCGCCAATTTTTGATACATAAAGCAAGACGTTCAGATGCAGACTTCAAAGCTCAAGTAGGAAAGCTGAAACAATTAGAAAGGCATCTTTGACGTACCTACGGTATCCCATCCCAACGAAGCGACAAAGGTGATTGCCTCCTGCAACTTCGTTCAGAAAGTCACTTGTTTCTGGTCAGCTCTAACTTCAGGCATAAGAAGAGACACTCTAACATGGCGTCCGCTGACATCAAACCAAAGATGAACAAAGACAGGTCATGTTGTCATGATCCAGAATTGGAGACAATCGGTGTAGAATTGCCGCTCTTTCTGGACTACCTGCTTCGACTATCCTGGTGCCTTAGCATGACCACGTGTATGTTTGCACCCTACTGGTCACAAGAATCATGGGATATTGGTGTATGCGTGCTCCATTGCAAGAAGATAACGTCAACAACGCATTTCAGGAAGAGATGGCTAAACATTTATCTTAATATAATAACTACTCTCATCTTGATGAGGCACGATGTGATATCCAGTCTGCCACAGAAACAGCGGTAAAGACAGTTGGTAACCTACATCCGAAGGTTAACAAAAATCAGTGGACTTCCACAGCCTTATGTGAACTTACTGGTGCGAATAGACTGACTCCAACTGGCTCGGACCACAATGAGAAGTGAAAGCAGCTCAAACGTAAATTGACCAAGAGTTTTCTCAATGACCGCCAGCAGTTGTAGGTGGCGAAAGTGACGGAGAGGGAGAAGGCATCAACATTACGCAATACCTAGCAACTAGTTAGGCTAATTGAGGACACAGGCAGGAGTAAGACGATGGTGAGTGAAACAATCTCCAAAACAGACAATATCCTTGATAACCTCTCAGACAGATAACTAGAAAGTTAGGTTGAACACTTTGAAACACGGTTCAATTGTGGTTATTTGTTTGGTTATGGCTAGCAGATGAATCCAGGAAGTGCGTTTCATTCAAGCCATAACCAAACAAATTACCATAATTAACATGCAGGTAATATCAAGGCATATGCATAGGAGCCCATATGTTAATAGAGGTTGGACAATTCCATCCAATAAAACAACGGAAAATTATATGTATGTCAATAAACGGTTCAATTGGTTTGCAAAAACAACTCAGTTGCGCAGCATCTAGTCTAAAACTGAATACGGCGTCGATCTTGTAACACTCCTTACAGTTGAAAAAATGTTTAAAACCTAAAATGATGCAAAGCAGTAAAACGTGGTAGTTTTCCACAAAGATTTTCTAAGGATGGATGTAGGAAAATATTGATTAGAGCAACTGAAGTACTAGGGGTAGCGTAAGTAGCGTAAGGGAATCAGGTAGTCTCATCAAGCTAGTTTACATCAGAAATTATTCCAGTTTATAAGAAAAAATACAAGTATAACTATGACAACCATACAGAAATCAGTTTAACCAACATCATGTCCAAGATCCTTGGGTTCAATGCGTAACCAAGGCTCGAGAACAGCAAACTTGATAAAAACCAGGTAGGTCTCAGACCTGGACGGGAAAGCGCCGAACAAATCTCCTTTCGTCAGGTTTCGAAACACAGGCATACTTACGGACAACCAACGCTTGTTATATTTCTTGACCTGAAAGCGGCATTCGCCCCTGTGGTAGTGCTCAACTGCAAGTATGTAACGCTAGTCAAAGCTTAAATACTCGAAAACACACAGAGGTGTAAGGGCTTATAGAGAGTTGTCATCAGAATTGACGGCAACTAGTGGTGTCCGTCACGGATGCTCACTGTCATCGTTCTTGTTCAGCTTCGTTATAGGTGTTTTCGTGGACATAAACTTAGGTACCTCTTACTTTACAGAGATTGACCTACTCCCTGAAGGTCTTCTGATTGACTTGGAAAGTGCATATGATATTGTCCTGCTAGGTGAGGACGCTGATAAAATGCAGGGTGTTCTGAACGCGTTGAGCAGAAGTCTGAGTATGTTTGACATGTTTCGCACTTGTCAAATGTGGGATGGGGCTCCACCACTGATCTGCAGCTAATGCCAGTTCAGAGGCAGGGAATGAAAGCGATAGAATGTGTTCACCATTTCACTTACTTGGAGATTCCCATCAACTCAAACGGATTTGTTGCTGACAAAACCTCAGCTCGGACAGAGAAGGCCCGTTTGACATTTGCCAATTTACCCCCATCTCTGATGCAGGCTAGAAATTCAACTACCAATCAAAGCATTATTATATTGCGCTACAGTCCGCTGTGTTCTATTATACGGCCGTGAAATATAGCATTTTAACGTAGAAGATATAAGGAGATTAGAAGTTTTTAATTATATGTCTTCGTAGAATTGCTTAAGTCTGGTGAAACCACCGTGCGAGCAAGGCTGAAGTCAGGTGAAGGGTACTGAACAAGACAAGCAAGCCGATTGATGAGGTTGTGCACCTTCATCGACTATGGTGGCTTTGACATGTAGTGCGTATCCCGAGCCACCGCTTACCTGGTCATGCTAAGGGAAGTTGAACTGAGCTGGAAGAGAGTTCATTATGGTAGCCAGACCAAGACGTAGCACCCTTGGTTACATGGCTAGAAGCCGTTTACAATGGCGTAGATGTATTCACTTTTGAATTCTTCTAAAGCTCGAAAATCTTTACCGGCCGTCATATTTTAATCGCTTCTCCTTCTATACACCTTTGTCTGCTTTAATATCACTCTTAGTTTACCCACTTGTTGTTAAGAAGTTGTTGTGAAGTATGACGACTTAAACCAATGTACTTGTCCACACGTATCTACGTTGACTTAGTCCACTACATCAGAAAAAAAATGACCTATACAGTTTAGAGTAAGGATGATTGCGTTGAAAGGGCCATTTTATGTAGATTATAAAACGTAATTGGTGTCTTGTAGAATAAATTATTACAGTACATTCTCTGAAAATTATATATATATATATATATATATATATATATATGAACCTGGGAGGACTTGACAGCTGCTTCGTCCCAACAATGGACTCCCTAACAGTGGACACTCACTACCTCGTCAGAGAACGAACCCAGGACTGTCAAGTTCCGCCGCGCGTACGTTACTATTCAGCCGTCCAGTCGGAGTCCAACTATTCACAACTTCCATCTTCTGTTAATTCGTGATATAGTATGACTATCATGCAATGTTATCAGTGAGCATCAACTTCACTTCCGACGTGGTCACAACTTTGCATCAATAATTCGGGGAATCTATCTCGAAGCATGTCACTAAAGAACGCTAGACAGTAGTGTAGTTTTGAGGTTTGTGGGGATTGATTGATTACAAGGTGGTATTCATTACTTCGAAAGTTTTGTTGTTTCCCTGGATAACTAGTCATAGGCGCGAATGTAAATAACATTTTGTTGGATTTATTACTATCGTTCGACACTGAAGACCCGATAATCAAGATAAGAGCTTATAACATGAATATAAGAACTAGATATTAAAAAATGGTTAAGAAGAAATTATTTGCTACGATGAGCGATGTATAGACAAACATCATAAACTGACTACATACCGTCATCGTATACATTACATGAAATTTTCCACATGCTGTAAACACAGTATGCTAGCCAAATCAACATATGTGTTTAACACGATACGTTTATCATAGAATTATGTACTGGCAAACTTACATCTGCATCATCATTGTATTTCATGTGAATAAACTTATGTATACAAAGTTCTTTCAAAAATTAAAAACTAGAAAATTTAACCAACAACTTACAGCATCCATCATAATACTATGCACATAATCGGTGGCATCAGTTTTTAACTTCTCGTTCGACTTTAAAAAGGTATTTAATTTTGATTCAAGAGAATAATTTTTTAAATTCGGATGTATCCGATTTACTTGACCCAGTCTTATAATACGAGTTTCCCCAGTCTAAAAAGAAAGAAATAAGAAGAAACTAGTGATGACAATAGGAAAATAAAATTTATTGTATATAGTTTACCCAAACTCATCTCAACTAAAAAAGCAATAAAATAAACTAGTTCAATTGATTGATTAGTTGTACTACCTAGTATCCCTTTATTTAGAAATATACTGTTTATAAAATGATGAAAACTTTCAAAACTAAACCTGGGTTGCCAAAAGGATTCGAACGAGTGACCAAAGAGACTAACAATTCGATAAACAAATAACTTATCTAGAAAAACGTTTATTACAAAACTTAATCACTATCTGTTGACTGAAAAAAAGCTAGATAACCGTTCACTTTTCTACTGTGTGGTGAGATTATCCTTATTCCAAAGCAAGTTAACTAAAGGAAACATGAAACAACTTGAGGATAGTAAGGTTATATTTGACATAAAACCTATTGCAGTTGGAAACAACATACAAAAAAATACAGAGAAATACCTACAAATTTATCTACCGGTGCGGAATCTTTGAGTCAACCTCGAACTTGAACAGATTTCCACCACTATTCACCCGGCAACTAAACGCGATATAAAGCATTATGGCGGCTATGGTGAACATATGTTCAACTTAGCATGAACAAACAAAAATAGGACGTTTCATCAATATTACTTATTATTGTCTGTACAGTATATCTTGAGGTTTCAATAAACCTGTAGATGCAAATCTTTGTAACAAAACACAGGATCTGTCGTAGTACTTCCCTCTACATTCATGATCTTTCAAATGAAAACATTTGAGTAATTAAGCTGGCATTACTTCTTTAAGAATGAACTTGCTGAACTGTTTCCCCCTATTCTTTGCATGATGCTTTTACATATTCATTAAACGCGATTTGCAATTCTGCCAGAAAATATAAAGCATTATAAAGATTCAAAGGGCTTTACTTCTATGTAATATGGAATTTTCCTTATTTCAGACTGGGGATTCCCACTACTATGGATGAAAAAGAGATGCTAAACAATATAACCAAAGGTTTTTCACCACTAAACAATATAACCGTATCTGTAAAAATGATATGCACCTGTAAATTCTGGAATAAGTTATTACTATTACTTTCTGTTGGTATATATTCGGTATTGGGTTCCTATTTAAGGGGTATATCATTTGTCCCCGTCTTCAGGCTTTCAAATATGCTGTTAACGTTTACCTAAAAACTCAAGCAGATATAATTGCCACAGAAATGAAAATAACCTCTTCTTAATCTATAAAATTACTAATCAGGCTGTGAGAAAGTTTACTCTTCTCCACTGTTTTGCAATACAGGCTTTGCGAATGAAAGTAGCTACTAACTTCAGCTATCCATTCAATAAGAATTAAGCATGAAGAGAAAAAAAAATCATAACCTGTATGCTGTACTACTGATAATAAAAGTTCATAAATTCATGATTCCCACTGTACCATCGAAAACAAGATATTCAGCGAGTAGGACTTATTCAAACGAATTGATACCCAAATTGTAAGTTCATATGTATAAATTACAATTCAAATAATAGGAGATTGAAATAACAGTAATGATGGTCATATTTACTATAATGTTGGTAAATGATGACGTAATGGTTGAATGATAACAAAAATGGTTACGTAAAAGTCTTAAAACCGTTTATAAGGCTCATATAGATTACAAATGGATGAAAGCATGGTAGAAGTAATAAACTCAAAGGATTACGTAATATGAATGAGACAAGTTAATTGAGACGAAATGAAAATGTTTCCTTAAAATTTACAATTATTAGGAAGTAACACCGGAAACTATTAAATAAGAAAAAATAATAATAGTGATAATGACGATATACGAGTAAGAGTAATCTAGCAAAGAGTGAAGTTAAAAAACATGAAACAAACCAAGACCAAATCACATTAGAGTCAAGGTAGATACAACGACTGCATGCACTTCTTTTGCACACAAACGTTAGGCTTCAGTTCAAGGATAGCCAAGGTCTTTGCTGTTTTTGGAAGTTGAAAACGGAGGAGAAGTGGGAACAAATGTCGATAAACAACTTTGAAACTACCGTTTTTGTCCGTTGAATTGCTGTGTCCCGTAATTAACACGTCAACAAAAAGAGAAGCTGATTCATATTCCTTCTATGAGGTGAATTTTAACGCAGAGTGATAATTGTTGAACGCGTGTAGGATGTCATCCAGATCGACATCAGAGTCATAATTAACGAATGCATCATCCATATAACCTCGCCTGGTTAACTAGTTTACTAGTTACTAGCCGGTCCTAAGCCCGGGCAAAGAGGGAAGGTTGGGCATAGGGCTAGCAACCCTACCCCGTAAAACAAATCTAACCGCTAAACAAACTTCAAAGCACAAACAAAATATAAAAAATGAAAACAAACTTATTCCCCGCTGGAATCGGAGAGGCGAAATGACGCCAGTTGGTGAAAGCCTGCCTTCGGGAAGCCAATTGGCCGATGTGTCTTCGCCTCTCTCGATGAAAGCGAAAGTAAACGTGGGGACATGGAATGTCCGCACGATGTTTAAGCCCAGTAAGGCAGCCCAGATTGCAAAGGAGATGAGAAGGTATAACATCGAAGTGCTTGGAATTTGCGAAAGCAGATGGAATGGGAGTGGACTCTCCAAACTGTCAACTGGAGAATCAATAATCTACTCCGGTCACCCAGACGCCAACCACGAGCACACTGAGGGAGTGGCTATCATGATGTCCTCAAGAGCATCGAAGGCTCTCATGCAGTGGGAACCAATATCCTCCAGGATCATGACAGCGAGGTTCAACTCAAAAGGAAGAAAGGTCACAATCATACAATGTTATGCACCTACAAATAATGCAGAGCAAGAGAAAAAGGAGGATTTCTACAGACAACTTCAATCAACACTGGACAAGACGTCAGTTGGCGATATCAAAATTCTAATGGGCGACATGAATGCCAAACTGGGAGGGGACAACACGGGAAGAGAACTAACCATGGGTCGAGAGGCGCTAGGTGAAATGAATGAGAATGGAGAATTGTTTGCAGAATTCTGTGCATTCAACGATTTGGTGATTGGAGGCAGTGTTTTCAGACACAAAGATATCCACAAAGCGACATGGATTTCACCAGATGGACACACTAAAAATCAAATCGACTTTATCTCAATCTCAAGAAAATGGAGACGCAGTCTACTTAACACAAAGTCAAGAAGAGGAGCAGATGTAGGTTCACACCACTCACTATCTAGTGCAAGGAACCTTCCAAATCAAGTTAAAAGCCTTCAAGGAAGCTGGTGATAGACCTCAATTCAAGTACAACACTCGGAAACTGAAGGATGAAACTACAAAGGAGGTCTTCAAGGCAGCCATCAAGACAAAATGGGAGACATCAAGCAACATCCGTGAAGAAACCTGTGTGGAAGAACACTGAAAGTCTTTGAAAGCTATGTGGAAAGAAACCTGCACAACAGTATTAGGAAGGAAGAAGAAAGAAGACAAGGAATGGATCTCGACGGATACCTGGAAGCTGATAGAGGAGAGGAGGATGGTGAAACAGAAGATAAACCAGTGCAAGGACGCTCAACGACAAGAGGAACTGAGCACAATGTATAAAACACTGGACAAAGAAGTGAAGAAGAGTGCACGCAAAGACAAAAGACACTTCTACGAAACACTGGCAAGTGAAGCAGAACAGGCTGCAGGTAGGAGAGACCTGACGACATTGTATCAAATAACTAGGTTGCTATCAGGGAAGAGACCAACACAGATGAAACCAATAAAAGATGAAGAAGGAAATTTAATTACGAAAGAAGAGAAACAGAGGAAACGATGGGCCGACCACTTCAAGAAGCTCTTGAATCGACCACCACCTGCACTTCGTCCAGAAATACCACCTGCAGCCGCTGAATTACAAGTGAACATAAATCCCCCAACGAAAATGGAAGTCCTGAACGCCATAAAGCTACTGAAATGCGGGAAAGCAGCAGGACCAGATGGAATACCGCCAGAAGCGCTGAGAACAGATGCAGAGACAACAGCGGACATGCTCACACCACTATTGCAGAAGGTGTGGAAGGAAGAGAAGGTACCTGGCCATTGACTGGAAGAAGGGTTACCTTGTCAAACTGCCGAAGAAAGGAGACCTCAGTGCTTGCAAGAACTGGCGCGGAATCACTCTCCTGTCCACCCACAGCAAGTAAAATATTAAGCCGCATCATCCTGGAGAGGCTTAAAGATGCACTGGATTCAAAACTGCGACCGGAACAGGCAGGCTTCAGGAAGTACAAATCATGTGCAGACCAAATTGCAACGCTTCGTATCATCATAGAACAGAGCATAGAATGGCAATCACCTCTCCACCTCAACTTCATCGACTTTGAGAAGGCCGGCCTTTGACAGCATCGACCGACAAGTAATTTGGAAACTGCTTCAATACTACGGAGTACCGCAAACCTTTATCCGCCTCATTCAACAACTATATGAAGATGCCACATGCCGGCCAAGTCATTCACAATGGGAAGCTCAGTGATGCTTTCGAAGTGAAAACAGGAGTGAAACAAGGTTGCCTACTATCCCCCATGATATTCCTTATTGTGGTCGACTGGATCATGCAGCAAACAGTAGGCAGCAAGAAGAGGGAGATACGCTGGACGACGGAAAAGAACCTAGAAGACTTGGATTTCGCCGATGACTTGTGCCTAATGTCATATAAACTTGAAGATCTGCAGGCAAAAACTAACAAGTTGATAGAAGAGGCAGCTAAGACGGGACTTCAGGTGAATATAGAGAAGACAGAAGTGATGAAGATACCGCACCACCACCATCAACAACAACAACAAACTCCAATCACCGTCAACGGGAGAAACTTGAAGGAAGTGACCTCCTTCACTTATCTAGGAAGCATTGTTTCAACTACAGGCGGGACGGACGAGGACGTCAAAGTCAGAATCAGTGTGGAGATCTTCTGCACTCAGCATGCGGAACAAGATACGGATTTTCAACACCAACGTCAAGTCAGTGCTCCTGTATGGTTCAGAGACTTGGCGCGTCACGAAAGGCATTTCCAATAAACTACAGACATTCATCAACAACTGCTTACGCTCGCTGCTGAAGATCAGATGGCCAGAAAGAATAAGCAACAAGGAGCTCTGGGAACGAACCAACCAAGAACCTATCACGCAACAAATATGCAGGAAGAAGTGGAGATGGATTGGCCATGCACTGAGAAGGCCGACTGAGGACATCACGCGTCAGGCCCTCGAGTGGAATCCCCATGGGAAGCGACGAGTTGGACGTCCGAGGGTGACATGGAGGAGGTCGTGCGAGGAGGAAATGAGAGGTTGTGGGCTGTCGTGGGACCAGGTTCAAAAGATCTCAGAGAACAGAGGTCACTGGAGGCGTGCAACTGAAGCCCTATGTTCCACTAGGAACTCAAGGGACTAATAATAATAATAATAATCATCCATATATCTTTTGTAGATGTCAAATGATCAGTAGTTTGGCTAAGACTGGAATTTTCCAATCCTGACATAAGACAGTCTGCCATGAGAGGTTCTAAAGGGAACCTCATCACAACCTCAACATTTTGTCGGTATATCTCAATGAAATGAAATTACACAATAGAGACACATCTCATCAGGAGCTCTCTCCTGTCCTCCATATCATGTGAACAGATGTATTTCCATATGTAATAGACACTTTCCGTGAGCGGCATACTGGTGAACAATGAGGTAATATCTAATGAAAACATGAATTTACCGGGTGTCAACATCCTGCATGCTATCAATAAACTGAAATCCGTTACGAAGAGGATAAGAGGACACTTGCCTTCTAACTAGTTCCAATATTTCAGCTAACCACTGGGTGGTACAATGAACAGTAGAACTTGACATATACAAAACCTGAGGAAGAGGTAATCTTGGTTTGTGTATTCTCGGCAATCCATACAGATGTGGAATTATGAAACCAAGAATTCGAATGCAAGAATAAAATCAAAGGAAATTATTGCAATACACTTCATTTTCACCAAGATATCTGTGAGTTGGATCTCGATCTGTGACATTTTATTCTTCTCATCTTCAGGCTAATCGAACTTAGTCAGATAGAAGAGAATCTATAGCATTTTATCGACATATTGCCGACAAATGCCTTTGTTATCATCCAACTACTACACGTTATCAACTAGCAACATTATTAAAACTCTAACCACCATCAAGGTTCATAAAGTTGATTCATAAATTAACATTAATTTATAGTTATTTTGGTGAACTTTTACAGAGGATTTACTCATAAACTGAAAAATATCGCTACAAAACAAGCAAATGATCCCAGAAAAGCGTGAATAAAAACATTAGTTAAACAAGGTACAAAAATCAATTTTTCATAAATGATAAAAGCTTATCCAGTTATTGAATACGGGATCGATGTGCCTCTTGGCCGACAGACTGAAGGAGCTAAAGCCAACACGTATGACAAAGATTAGTGTATAATTCAAAAATGGAGCAAATTATGCGGAAGGTTACATACACTGAAAAAGTTCAAGAACATAAAGCTGACACTAACTCACAAAATCAACGTATGACCTCGCACATAACTCAATCGGCTCAAGTTGCCATACTTCATAGTAATACACAAAGAACACGTGAATAGAAAATGAATAATTTCAAAGTAGATCAACTAGTGTGACAGACTAAACAATTCGAAGATAAGGGTTGGTGCGAATATTCAAGCCTTAAAACATGTCAAGGAGTGAATACATCGACGCCACTCTGATCGATTTTCAGGTATATCACCAGGAGTCAGTCCTTAACCACCGATTCGTTTTGTCTTAGGGACCCGAACCAAGAAGTTTAAATCCTCCCACGTGACAGACCAACAGTCAGGGACTTCATCAACTGATGTCACGTCTTGGTCTGGCCACTCTGAAATCGCTCCTGACCTAATCCAGCTTTCCCCAGTATGCCACATCGTGGTCAGCGGTAGATCAGCATGCGCAGTACAAGTCCAACCCATCTCAATCAACTAAGTTTCACAACTTCATCAACTGTCTTGTCTACCTCGCCTAGTACCATTCACGTGACTTCAACAATGCTACACTCTGATCATCTGAAGGTTGTCTAGAATTTGGAATTAACAAAGACTTTTTAAAAATAATTTATAAGTTTTAGTTATACAAGTTCAGTAATAAAAGCACACACTTACTTGATGCAATCTTAATAAGAGATTATCTACGGCAGAATGAGTATGCGCTGCCACGAGAACTTTTTTCTTGAGAAGAATGAGAACACGCAACAAAGCTGTTAAAGTTTCTGTCTTTCCTAAGAATGAAAACAAATACCAAAAAAAATTTCACTGAAAACCTAATTGAATTTTAAAAAGTTAAGAGATACTATTTATATACAGATAAGAATATTAAACTGTACTTGAGTTAATCACTATTGGATGATCGATGTACCTAGCCCCTAGCATTGAGTAACGCGGTTTCAAATCATCAAGGGAACACCAATCTCTTTAACGTTGTAGACATGCCCTGCCAATTAATGTCAACAAGCATAAAACCTGAGTTCATCGTTTCCTGGTGACTTATTCCTAATATCTGAACACCAATATATTAAACTAAACTTCTGAACATTACATAACAACTTCGAAAAATGCCATATGCTGATAATTCTTAGCTACTCCATACGGAATTCTTCACTTTAAAGACAAGATAAGGATTAGCTAGGCAACCTCCTGATATCATAAGGTTAGCAAGCAAAATTTCATACAAAAATTCTGCCCATAGTTGTTATAAACATATTAGGCAAGCTGAATAAAGATAAAAGCAATGATAAAGTAAAGTGTTGTCATAAAAGATAACAAATCTTGATAAATGAACAAGTTTCATTTCATACTCTTAAAGAAATGTATCCCGTGTTATACACAAAATAAAATTATTCAGGAGGATTGATAATATTATGTTAACAGTTCCAGTTATGACAATTAGGATTAGTACATCAAGATAAAGAAATAAGGAAAACACGTGAGCAAAGACAGTAAAGATGGAGGTAAAATTAATAACGGAATTCAACTGAGATGGATTCTAAGTCATATCACTTAGAGTCTACAACCACCAATTTCGGTTGTCACACAGACTCCAACCATGAAGTTTACATTTCTTCACATGGCTCATATCAAACACTTCATGAACTAAAATCGCGTTTTCATCTGACAACCTTAAGCTACTTTCAGCCAGCATCATGCATACAAGTAGGTGACAAGACATATCATAATACATATCCCAGCTACATTGGAAGCAGGTCAGTAATTCGAATGTGTTACTGTCACGACATGCATATTTAGTAAACACACCTACTTCAAGCAAAATGTTTTCCTCAGCAGTATAACTCTTTATTTTGCTGCCTTCATATTTCTTCGTTATTTTCCACTATTGTTTCTTTTTATATCAATTAATCATAAATCTAATAAACAGAGTATTGCAGTTCATTGATTTGCCGCAGTAAATGCATCTATAACTTCTATTCTGTATGTACAATATGGAGAGCCTTTCATTTATTTCTATTTTAAAATCTTTACTTCTAACAACTATTTAGATTACTTAGACTGAGAATTTTAAGTTTATGTATACCAAACCATATAAATATAATTTTACAAACACTTACCTGATCCTGGATAGCCTTTGATAAGAATATAATCTTGTGAAAAAAGAGTTTGGAGAACAGCTGCACGTTGGTTTACATTTAATGGTTTCAAGATAGGTCGTACTAGAGATTTTTTAAAAAGTAAAAGCATATGACATAACATAACAGGAAGTAATAATTACTTTCTTTAACGATTCGTTTAGATATCGTTTTTGATGTGTTAGGCATGCGACCGTCAATGATAAGTTCACGTAGTACCTGACTAGAAGAAAGAAATTTTGTATTAATATAATGGTAGAGTGCATATCTATACAATATAGCCAGTAGTATTGCAATCATTTAACAAACAAAAAGGAACAACAATACTTAATTTGAAGGCTTTTGGGATTTCACTATTGATTTGAAGCTGGTATTTATCACGGGCTGACATCAGTTGGAGAACCATAGAAAACCTGGGAGCACTGGACAGTTGTTTCGTTCCAGCAGACAAGTCTCGCTCTCAAGTGGGGTCCTGGGTCCACACTGCTGAGGAGTTCTATACTATGATGAAACAGCTACCCAGTCCTCCTAGATTTTTAACGGTTCTCCAGCTGATGTCAGTCCGTGATGAATACTAACTTGAAAAAGAAAAACAGGGTTTTGTCCAGCCAAAAAAGACTATATTCCAAATGGTATGATTATAGATGTTAGTTGGATGGAAGCAACCGCGAGGAAGCCCTGATTGACCAAGGTTTCATGCTTTCTGACACCCGTCAGTAAGGCACATCTGCAACCTCTGCGGAACTGACATCTCGCCTGAGACTTGGACCCCCATCACCCAGTGCTGCAGTCTAAGACGTTACCATTGAGCTATTCGGGCTGCGACTGACCTCCTGTATGACTGGATTAGGCATACTGATTAGTCACTGAAGGGAAAGATGATAGATATTCAACGCCACAGATTGAACATCCATTTAAGGAACCTATGAATCATCAATTGTATTTGAGCATAGTTCTAATAAGTTAGATGTTTGTTAGAAGGTGATAAAACACTTTGTTGATCACGGTTTCTTTATTTATTCATTAAAATTCTAAAGGCACGGCTTTCTACAACTTTGCCTACACGTTATAAATTCATCAATGAAAAGGAGTTCGGAGTGACAGATAATTCAGAACAGAAAACAATACTTCTAAATTCATACAACTTGTTCACTTGATTATTTCCAACAAAGTACGGAAAACAAGATCTGCGGTTACTCATTATGACACTTACTAGTTCGAAATCCACTCAAAAGCCTTATCCACACCTGTGAAGTAGGCAATAAGCCACCCCCATTGCGTAGAGGCTAATGATACTACTTGGCTGCCCGAACCTCGGTAGGTGGAGCGGCATTCAAACCCATGACCCACTGATTGAATTTCAACCGCCTAGACTAATGAGTTTCACGTCCACACCGTAGCAATAACACGGCTACTTGGTTGCTTAAAATGGACAAGTAGCCATTGAATGTTACCCACAACCGTATTTATGAATTCACACGTACTTGCCAAAGCAAATAATTCAAAAGGACAGAAAGACACGTCTGGATTCATTGATCTGAATACGTCTATGATCAAACTGTTCAAAATTAGTCACAGGTTTAATCACGCACCATGTATTGGATTCATTACATAGCATAGATGTATCTACAGCCTTTAAACTGATAAGTCGACGAATCAATACTATGTTACGCCGCTTGACAGAACGAATAGCAATCAAATGCTTTTAATCTGAACTTTGTTTTTCGAAGACAACAATGATTAACTCATTACCCAATTGGTAACCATGCTTATTTTTAACTACTGCATCGCTTATTTCATGTTTTCTCATTCACCTATTTCGTTTTTATTATGTTATATATATCTAGCGTAATATAAAGTTCTTGTTTTTCTTTCTGTGACAAATCTGTTATTATTGAGAAAGTTCTTGCATCAAAACAAGTCCTTGATGGATGAAAACGTATGCAGTAATAAATATTCCTCATCCCTTATCTCATACAATGAACTGACAACTACTATTCACTTCGCTGACTAAACGCTATCATGTTTTCACATGAAACTTGTTCATTTTGTGTAGCCCAAAATGATGTGGTATTACTGAATGGGGTGTAGAGCTGTTACTCATTGGTTTAGAGAGTTGACTTTAAATAGTGGATCATAAGTTCGAAAACCGCTTCACTTACCGAGGTTTGGGCAGTCAGATAGTATCATTAGCCAGCCCATACACACAAAAGGTCTGGCTCATTGTCTACTCCACGATCGTGCATAAGGTTGTTGAGTTGGTTTCATTTCAAGTGGATGATATTTCAAACATAGTCTATTGCCTATAAAGGTTAGTCATATAACTCTTGAGAAATGATCTTACTGCTTTGTATCTTCGTAATTTCGATGGTAGTGGAGTTGGGCTGATATCTGAAATCAATGTTTAATTATTCTTACTGTGTAGGTATGCGACTGTTCTTCATGCATTCATGAAGTACTGATTTGATAGACGAAATCTTTGCGATCATTCTTACACCCCACAGTTTTATAGACCGAATTAACGCTTAAGGTAACAATGAGCACAATTCAACATTGTTCTCTGATATGTACGAAATTCTACTACCACTAAAATTGCAAACTGTAGAGGCAGTAAAAATAAAGAAACGAAGTCTCAAGAATTGTGTAACTATACTCTGATAGGATTTTAGGCAGTAAACAATATCTGAAATATTATCGAGTAAATGACTCTGACATATCGAATAAACATATTTACTCAGAAATTACTCTCCATCACAGTGCACAAGTCGTACCCCTACAAATTCATCCGAAATGTGCCTCTCAATAGGAATGTAGATACAATGCAGTGGACGATAAGTTTGAATAAAGCATAAGTATAACAATTCAAACAAAATAAATCTGTATATACTTTTGAAATTACTTCATAAAATGGAAAAAATGTAACCATAAACTATCCACAATAATGTTTGACTTGAATGATCAACTATTTCTGACATTGTGCAAGAAACATTGACCACAAGTAAGTTAAAAACAAAACAACAGATAAGAAAGTTGATTTTAAAAATAATTAGTTATGATCCAATAAGATAAACTTTAGTAATCGCGATTTTTCTTTTAATGACATTTATTCTAAACCAGTATACTTAGCTTCAATAATCAACTGTTCCTTTGACATTTCTGTCATAATCCTTTTTTTAAACCGAATGAAAATGAGTGATCAAATCAAGCAGCAATAGAAATTGAAACTAGTTAAGTTCGACAAAACAAAGAGTCTGAATAAAACACTTCAAAATATTCAAGCATATTGTTAATACTTATATAAAACAGATAATGTTGATGTGGTGGTTGGGTTTTCATATCATAATGGCTATAATGACACTAAAGGTCTGCTGAATAACCAAAAAATCAAAACTAGCTATCAGCATATTTAAAACAGTTAATACTCTAATGCCCAATCAGAAGAAGAGCATGGATGTGAAAGAACCAAAGCGATGTCATTGCGCGACCAACCGAGGAATAAAGGATTCGGACAGACCAGCTCTAAAAAGTATCCATTCCATCTTTCCATTCTTCATGGTGAGGTCCTTTAGAGATGCGAACAAACCTACGAACAAGAATACCGTTATTGGTTGTATTGTGTCCTCTGAGCTGAGTTGTTTACTCGTGGAACTTTCATCGTCTTTCTAGGCGACATCTTGAGCACTAACTTCAGTGAGCTGTCAATATTTCTTCGTGAGTGATTTAGTAGCTTGTTCTGACAAACTGGTTTGTGATTGGTTGTTTCCTTTGATTGCTGTTTCACTGACTGTACAGCTGAAGATATCGTGTAGAAAGACGATGAAAGCTACACGAGTAAACAAATCAGCTCAGAGAACACAATACAACCAAGACCATCCACCTGAGCTACAAATATCCTTCGCCATTTCAGAATACCATGAAGAAGATCATGTCTGCCTCATGCAACCATTAGTAGGGTTTTGTGGTTACACGAAATTCAAACACTTTACCTCTTAATTAGCTTAAGAGGAGCTACCATTTCATGATTAAAGGAAGTGGTGAAGTGTCAGTCACCGTAAAAATTCCCATATTACTCGAATATCTGATCTGAGTTTTTACAAACCACTTTTTTCCTTTCATATCCACTAGAGTTAGTCGTGATTATGTTTATTATAACTTCATCACCCTTACGTCTACTGAGTCAAGACCCTAAGTTACCTTAGATACCTTAATCCTTATAGCAAATTTGTTCCGAATAGCCTCACATACTAACTAGACTCAGACGACTTACTGACCCCTCTGTATGAGTGAAAGAAATACAAAAACTGTTCAGTTACATTCAATTTCTTTTCTTGTTTACGTGAAACTTTAGTCTCAAGAGAAGCATCAACTTGGTTGGAATTTTTGAGGTGTTGTCACACTGATGACTGACCGACAAAATCAACGTAGAACCTCGCACATAACTCAATCGGCTCAAGTTGCCATACTTCATAATAGTACACAAAGAACACGTGAATAGAAAATGAATAATTTCAAAGTAGATCAACTAGTATGAGAGAATAAACAATTCAAAGATAAGGGTTGGTGCGAATATCAGGCCTTAGAAGATATCAAGGAGTGAATACATCAACGCCACTCTGACCAATTTTCAGTCGTGTTACCAAGACTCCTCAACCACTGATTCCTATTGTCTCGCCGGCCCCAACCAGGTAGTTTACATCTTTCCACACAACTCAGACCAACAGTCAGGGACTTCATCAACTGGCGCCACGTCTTGGTGTGATTAACCTGAACCCTCCTCCAACCTAACCTGACTTACCCCAGCATGGCATGTCGAGGTAGTCGGCGGGTCAGCATGTGCAGTGCATGTCCAACTCATCTTAGCAGATGAAGCTTCACAACCTCATCGAATGACCTACCTGTCCCACCTAGTACTACCCTTCGACTAACCCCGATATTCTTCATACGGTGTCTCCACCATACGCGAGCAACGTTACGAAGACATATGATCAAAAACTTGTAAGAGCCTCATATCGTCCATATCTGATAGCCATGTCTCACAGCCATATAACAAGAAAAAAAGGGATGCATTAGAGTTTACTCGTCTCTTGATAGACAGTCGGATATTTCGCCGGCGTCAAAGATGATGCAAGTTATTAAATGCTAACAGAAAATGTGATTAAAAATCAAAAATGTTTTTTCTGACGTCCAGCAAAGTAATTCCAAATATGCTACTGGCATGTAATACAACATTCATACAGACTAATAGACACTCTTTCAGTTGTCGATTTCTTTGAAATATAACCTTACACTTTCAATACTGTATTCACCTAAAAACGGTTTACCTGCTGACATTTCGTGAGAACTGTCAACGATAACAAAAGGATAATGAAGTGTTTTATAAGACTTTGAATGCTTTTCATTGTGAATTATAAAACACAAAATTCAGTTCATATCTCATAGAAAGTAATGATAAACAACCACGTATGAAGAGAAACGTGATACAGGCATATGAATAATACACAAACATACCCCAATGTTGAATTCTGCATTAATCCTATTAGATTGGACAAATTCAACTGAACTGTTTTCATAGTTACGTAACGATCAATGCGAAATAATTTAATCCGATCAGGAAATGGCCTATGAGAGGTAAATATCATTCAGATACACTGATAGTCTAGCATTAACAGAATTGTAAGCATAGGAAATATGAATTAGAATTCTAGCAAAATTTCACGGAAAATGCTGTCCCATCATTAAAGTTCAGATGGAAGAACATGCAATCATACTTATAGTAGTCGACTAGACCACATCAGTTGACGTTGAACTTTCAAAACACTATTGTACCAACCATTCGGTTTTACTGATCATACAAGTAACGATTTCTAACAAAGGATTTGAACCAGCGACCTCCAGTTGCCACCCGAGTGCTCCGCCAAGTGAGTTTGAAGTGAAATAAAGATCGAGTCTGTAGTTGGGTCGGGGTCCGTAACCCGGAGTTCGCTGATTCGAATCTTGCGATGGTCCAAATTTTCATTTCACCTTCAATAACCAATCAATATCAATACATGTCTTGCAAACCACGAATATTTCAGATAGTCACACTGGTAATCCTTAATCTAATGTCTCATCCAGTGAAATAAGTTTTATTTTGCAATCGCCAAGTTATTAGATTCGATAAAACAGCTGCACAGCTGCACAATCGTGTAATTTGGCTACATTCTTATACTGAATTTCTTTAAAATTTCTAAATCCCCATGAAGTTACACAATCTGCACAAGAAATGTTTTAAAAAATACATCAAGAAAGATACACACTTAAAGAAGACTGAGTTTCAACAGGGTAACTGAAAACGTCTCAGAAAAGAGTGTACTATGACAGTAAGCGAATGTCTAAGAGGTTGAAATTTAATGTTATACAGAAGCATGGATTTGTACGAGTAGAAGGTTCAAGACCCCACTAGTAGTAAGCTACTGTCATCATGACGTAGCTAAATTACCGAAGCCAAAGTGCCTTAGATTCATAGTCCAACCGCAAATAATTTTACATTGTATTGAGGTGAAGAAAGATAGTAATAAAATAACGCAGAACTTGGAATAGCAATGTATTAGTTAAGATTATTACACTTTATAATAGAACTTGAAAACAACATTGACAAGGAGGTAACAAGAATAACAACATTGTCACAAGTATTTTTCAAGAGTAGTAGAAAAATGAAAATTAAAGAAATCTGGGACATCTGGGATATACTATGACAACGTGCATCAATATTTATTGCTGTTGTCTACATTGGAATAAATAGCAAATGGAAACATACAGCTGCGACTTCCTCAGAACTATAGTTATTTATTAATCTCATAGATTTCCAAAGTTTCACGACCCACTACTAAGCACAACAGTCTAACAGCCAAAATCTTCGCAGAGTAGCTGTAACTATTCATATGATTATTTTGAGGCTTCTAAACCATTTGCTGCCCAAAATGGTGCATCTTATCAACCTAGACTGTAAATCAATATACATCACATACAAGCACCACATCAATGCACGTTCACATCCTGGCTAACTGATTTACCCTCTTAGCTTTAATATGCCTCAGTTAAATTTGGCATAAATCCAGAGATCAGGTTTCACAGTCACATATATAAAAGCCCGGACAGGATGACAGAAATTTTTATTCAACCCTATATTAAACTATACCGAAATACAGGACACATTCATGATACCGAATAGTTACCAAAAGACGAAAATAAACAAAATTGAATACAGTATATTTCGAATGAATGTAATGAAAGTAATCTTAGAGAAAACAGTGAAAGTAATCTACACTTGAAGCAAATAACTATACTGATAAGAGTTGTTAAAATAATCTTGAAAAATGAAATGAAGAATAGCCTGTAATCTCCTCCAAAGAAATGGATCAACACTGTGGTTATTCCATACAGGAAAGAGACATCGGAAGAAATCAGAAGAATCCTTAACAAGCATGACATAAAGGTTTATTTCCCTTTGACAACTAATCTACGTTCTGCTTTAATGAAGGTCAAAGACGTAGTACCGACGGGAAATCAACAGAATTATGTCTATGAAGTAAATTATGATGCAGAATGTGTAGGAGGGACATTCAGGCAGATGAATGTGGGGGTCAAGGAACATAGAAAACTTCCATAACAAACTCGACCTCAGCAGAATTCAGAAATCGGAGAATAGATCAGCAACTGCACTACATTCGATAGAAACCGGACACGAGATTGGTTTCGTTGGAACCAAAGTTCTACAAAACGGTTATGTGTCATATAAAGAAAGACTGACCCTGGAGGCCCTACATATATGGACTAATCCCAAAAGCTTGAATGAACGAGACGGAATGCAGTTGGCAAATAATAATTAATAGACGTAAAGAAACCCGAATAGACATTGGCGTAGCTCATATAGATTAGCACTAATGTCCAATTTTATTCTATTCATATTCCCACTAATTTGTCATTATCATTCAAATCATCATCTATAACAGACAATGTGCTATCAATGCCTTTCATCATTATTATTTATTCTGCAGCATTTAAGAAGCAAAGAAGAAACAGGAAAAGCCTAGTCTTATCAACATCAATCCATCCTGACTTTTGTATGAACAACAAGTAAATATTCTTCATCCATTGACAATTATGACACATATGACCTCTATTATTTTGTAATAACCGATGTCTGAAATACAACATACAAACATTGGCTTGCATTTGTGCATCGCATGTACCATATGGTGAATGATGAATAACCTTATTTGCTCTTGGTGACTAGCAGAGGAATCCAGGACGCGTGTTTCGTCCTATTTGGAACTGGTCAGCTGGATGTACCTGCACCCCAGTGAGTGATGTTGTTCCCAATAAGGCTCAGACCGAGTACTCTTCGCTTCAAATGCCAAACGCGTTATTCACTGAGCCACTGGGGTACGATAACCATCTCTTGTGAAACGGATGTCAGTTGTTGTAATGGTACTTGTAATTTTCTGTTGCTATACAGCGCCGAACTGCTCGACCTCTATGACTAGTAAGCCTATTGAAAAACAATTACAATCCAGTCACGAATTAACAACGAGATGAAATATACGATTTTTGACCTATGATGATGTACATTTTGATTAGTTCTTTGAAAAAGCTCGGATCAGAATTCCATGCGAAACGTTGGAACTTTTTGTTGGAAACACGCTGAGATTTGTGAAAATGTAACTTGTATCTAATGACAGTAAAAGTATAATTGAAATAAGTATATAAACTAAATGATGTCATGAAGTACTAGGTTACCTGGTTGAAGTAAGCGAAATTACAGACTTCTTATAATCGGATTGAGATGGAATACCATTGCATACAGAGTTTTCAATGTCATGAAGATCTTCAGTAGGGACAATTGTCGCTAAGTCTATGCCTAACAGACGACAATCATCACTGCTGACGATTACCAAGTCACCGACACTAAGACCAGATATCGATCTGAAATAAATACGAAATTGTACTGAGAAGAAAAATTTAAACCGATTTATGCAGTTTAGGATAGAATAATTTCAATAGTCTGTTAAAAGCTGAATCAAATATATCAGTGGTGAAAAAGTCTGTACACTCTAAAATGATGTAATTAGCATCAATTAACCTTTGGAATGTACATATGCAATGACAGTTCTACTCTCTTGGATGAAACGCATTTCCATAAAAAGGTAATATAGATATATTTCAACCGAATGTTAAATTCTTCTGTATTTAAAATACTGAGGTCTTTCCTCCCATTATAATAGTGGTAATCTAGTACATCTAAGTATGTTGCACTACGTTTTTATGGTTTGTGGTGTCCTCCGACGCTGACCACCAGGGAGTCTAGACATTTTCACTCTCCGGATGATCCAAACAAAAGTCATGATAAAATAAATTCTCATACAGTGCCATATAGTTCCATGTTACAAAAAAATCTTTAGACTGGTTTAGTTAACTTTAAATACGAAGAAGCAGTTTCAATCATGCCTATTAAACACAACGTATTCATAATTCCTATTTTTTTCTGTTTATTACAGCGTTACATTGAATTATGTTTCTTCTGATTATTCGAAGCAACGGTCATTCATTTTGCCTTTGAACAATATGAGCTTTCACAGCAAACATTCCGTTAACAGACAAAATATGTTTCCAAGATTACTCGCATATGATGTGTAAATTCTAACCACGGATTGCACCTTGTCATCTCTCAATGTAGTTAAACATATCCAAACAGAAGTCACTGAGAATATCTTGGGAAAATCTTTAAACGTATACCAGAAGAGGAAAGAAACGACAGCGAAACACACTCGGTAGCCCTGTCCGCATCCGTGCAGTAGGCAATGAGCCCCACCTATTGTGTCAGGGCTAGTGCATCTACCTGGCTGGCTGCCCAAACCTCAGTAGCTGGAGAAGGGCTTGAACCCGTGACCCAATTGTTGATAGTCATTACCCTAAACCACTGAGCCACACCCCCACTATTATATCAGAGGCAAATATTTTTTCCTGAATGCATTTTAATGTCCCCATGAAGGTAAGATTAACAGTGAAACCAAGTTTTATGGTGATCTGACTTACTACATAATACTCTACTTTTTACGTTTGTGTATAAAACATGCGCTTTCAGAAGACACACGGATATCAACAAAGAGTTTTACACAGAAGTGACCAGACCAGTGTGTATGAAAATTCATCAAGGAATAAAATATACTGACAACACAAACTCATATCTTCCATCAGGGTTGAGATGACGATAACATTCACTGTCATAAATGTGTAAATAACGTCTACAGTAGAATGGTATATAGGTTCATGTGGAAAAAAAAGTAGATACACTGGTTACTTGTAACTTCTTTTCAATTAATACACTAACTTGAAGTGAAACAGTGAATTAAATTAATGTATAAAACATACAGTAATGTTTCATTTGATTGATCAGTTGGCTTGTCGGGAATAAACCAACTTTGAAATTCGCATTCTCCAGATATTGAATTACCAACAGTTTTCGTTTCCAATAAACGTAAACGACGCACAGTGCCAGAAGTAAAGAACCTATAAAGTAAGATTTTAGAAGCAGGAAAAAAGAGAAAAACCCATTCATTTACGAAAAGAAAACTTACTAGTGAGAAATGTGAGTAGTTGTATCCAAATGACACTGTCTAACACGTATCACTGATCAGATTTAAAGCAGCATATTAGTTCATCAGCAGTGTAAACCAATAAATTAAACCCGTAGAAAAGTATTTCTTAGAATCATCAAATTTAATAAACCAGCCTAAATGAACTGATCACACCAAGATACAGTCGAGTAATTTTCAACCTCACTAGTCCTCACAAATTAGTGTTGCCAGGAATTGCTTTTAAAACAATTCTTTCGAAATTACCAAATATGAAAAGCCTAAACGTTAAACTTCGAGAAAATTTCATGGAAATAACAAATGCATCACGATGAATCACTATTTCAACAAACATGTTAACCAGAAGCAAATAATTTGAAAAAAATTCGCAGAAAATTTTAAGCCAAATCTACAGAGTTTAAAGAGTTCAGAAATAAAAGCAAATCTGATTATATGCACTTACTGAATATGTTATGTAGAAAGGTTAATTGAAGTGTAGGTGGGAATATTGCTCATTAGTTTAAAGATATGGCATTTAAACAATGTATCGTGGGTTGAAATTCTACTGTAACTGCTTCAGCCTAGCGAGTTTGGGTAGTATTAAAAGCCCTCATTCAATGAATGCGGCTTGTACCCAAAGAGGTGAGCTAGATTTTTTTAATTAAGTGTGCAGAAATTGCTACTCTAAAAAAGATTCTGGAATATTCAAGTAATAAGCTCGAATGTCTTGAAATTTGTTCACAAATTAATAACTCGCAATACAATCCAAGTCTTTGTTATTAGTGAACCGTCCAAGAGAATAACGAGAATGTTCATATAAAGCCACTTTAGTTCGTTTATTATCAGATGTATCACACACAGTGTAACAGTATTGTTTACGGGATTACGTTTAGGACATATTTTATTATCCATAGTTATATAAAGATAACTACACAACTTTAAGACATCGTTTATATAGTCCCACTTCCCTCGCCCCCTTTGTAATATGGGTAGTAAGATTTTCTATACATCTGGAATAGGTGCTGAGTCATTCCTGTAGCATAGATTAGATGTTGATTCGATCTATGAAGACTTAGTTATTAATCTCTTTTTACATCCTGCTGTTAGTTCTAAGGATTTCCACCACATTGTCCAACACCATTGTGTGTTTGTCTGTAATTGGATCCATAGCTATGGTTGAACTTTTTCCTAAATTCCTTACCTTACTAGGATCTATCAGTTTTGATCTAGGTAGGTTTTTGTGCTCAGATACCCTGATTAACCCTGGTCGACCACTTTGACCGATGCATTTTATCTTGCAGTCGTTGCAAGGGATTTGGCAAACTAAATTATTTTCCCTAATTGGATCAGTAGGATCTTTTAACCAAAACAGCTCATTTCTAAGTATGCTTGTAGCCTGATTACGAATCCTGCGTAATGTCTCCGAGATGCCCAACTTGTATAGTAATACTGTACAACATCCCCATTATTATTATTACTATTAACACCTGCGTTACAACTACGAGTTATATTTTTCTTACGACTACTGAGGAATTTCAACTAATTAATTCAGGAGGGTAACTACTGATGAATAAGATATCGTCAATGTATCTGATTTCTTGTCTTACTAAGGAGTTTCTTGGGCCTGTTATTTAAATGTCTGATTAACCCAACTTTAGCTGACATAAGGCGAGATGATTTGAAGTCTACATAACGACTCGAGTGTGAGGATTTTCTGCAGACACTAGTGTCTAAACTCCCATCTTGTTTTCGTTTTATTCAGCAATCCAACATCACTAATTCATGTTTCACTATTTTCTAATTCATAAGTGAATTGGATTACATTGACTACTGAACTTATGTGTGTGAAGAAAATATCTAGGTGCTCCAAATTCAACACTGTAAACGTGTTATTTGCATATCGAAACCATATTTTTGGAGCAGGACTAAATATTAGGACGGCCATCTGTTCCCAACCGCCTATAAATGTCTACCATGATAGGCGATCCCATGACAACTCCTTCTGTTTACTTGTATATTTTATTCTGAAAAATTGTAGAAGTAAGGCGTGGCTATACTTCTAGCATAATGTTGTGTCTGAGTTTAATAGATTAGAAATAATATCTAGGCTATTATCAATACTAGTATATAAAGAATTGATAGTTTTATCCCCCTCAATTTTAAGTGAAGAAATCTTGAATTTAAAGTCAAGTGAGCCCTTTATTGATTATTCTGAGTGTTTTTGTAGGGGGTTTAAGTATTGAAGCGAGATGTTTTTAGAGGTTTTATGCTGGTGTGGTGCTGAAGTTTGTAATTGGTCTCAATGGAATCGAAGGTTCGTGAATCTTGGGTAGACCGTAACATCTTGAATATACAATGGTTTTTTTTAATTTAGCTTCTGCCTATGAAGGTCATGTGAACTTGGTGATTAGTCTTCGGATATGAAGACTACATGTTGCATTCATATAAGTAAGAGTAAAACTTGGACACTTTCATTTTAGTTGATTTTTTTAAATGTATCACACATACTGAAACAGTATTATTTTATGGATTAAATTTCAGACACAGTTTATTGTCCAGCCACATTAGGATAGCTCAAAAAAAACTTCGAGACATGGTTTGTATAGTTCTCAAAGTTCTGCAGTTATCTTGATATGACTATGGACAATAAATTGTGTCCAGAACATAATCCAAAAAATAATACTGTTTCACTGTATGGGATACACCTAATAAACCAACTTGAATGAAATTACATCCAACTATGGTGTCCAATTAATTCATAGGACATTTGTAACAACTATGGTCTAGATGTTTATAATCTAATTCATATGAAACCTTAACTTATCAGATTAATTATAACAGGATATCACGAAACTCAGTACTGCTTACACAAACCAGATAGAATATAAAAAGTATATATATATATATATATATGCGCTGGTGGATGAACTAGTTTCCAGGTCGGTTAGCAAATACAGCAGTACTTGCCTCAGATGATGAGTTCGAATAGCCAATATGAAGTTACTCTCTCCTTTTATTGCAGCATGGGCCTTAGTTGCTAACATAAAGGTAATCTTTGCAGTTAAGTTTAAAAAATGAATCACTATAAATTAAAAATTTCAGTTATTCATGTAAAGCTTTGGACACTATCAAACGCTAAAGAAAAAACAAACAAACAAAAAACAAAATAATAGTTCAATGTTAATGAACGACTGGTAACAACCTCAAATGTCCTACAAACAAACAATAACTTGACGGGTTAACCAGTTGACAAATCATGAAATTAAACATCCTGAATTCACTGTTATTCTGAAGAACAGACAATCGTAACTCCCTGTCCAACAGTCTGCTGATAACACATTTGCCATGACAAATGGTAGGTCAAAGCCATCAAAGTATCAAGTGCATATAGTGAATGGGTTTACGTAGGAAATGATTTATTTTTCTAATCCTCTTCAATTTTTAATGCCCACTTGTAAAATTAAAGACTGAACGGGAAAACATTTTAAAAATTGAAATACACTTTTGAGTCTGTTACAAGTGAAACAATTTATCTCATGATAAGGACAACAAAAAATAACAGACAGATAATATGAGAGAATGACAGAGTTTCCTCAAAAACAAATGATTCAAAAATCGGTAAAAGAATAAATTTCACTTGAAAAAGAAAGTGTACATGATCTACACTAAATAAAATACTATAAAGCATAACCTAGGTGATCTTATGTATCTATATAATTCAAAGTAATGATCATTACCTGTCAGCCTTCCCAGATGTTTTGCAGATACGCCCAATCACATCTTCAAAACGTTCATTATCAAAATGCTCAGTCAATAAGAGTTTAGACCATTTGGTAAAGAAATTAATGTGTTCTACACCAAGATGAGATCGACGGTTAATAAGGAACTTCGGAACATTTAAAGCTGAATCACATGAACTAGTGTATCTGTATTAAAAAGAAACATTACAAAAAGAGAAAAAACCACTTAGATAAAATACAGAATACCTGAAACTAATTATGAATGGAATTTGGGGGTTTGTGAGGATTTATTGATTTAAAATTGGTATTCAACTTGAACTGACATCAGTTAGAGGAAAATTGGTAACCCGTGAGCACTGGATAACTGTTTTGTCCTAGTATGGGACTCAGCAGTGCGTACCCATGACCCCACTGGGGACCGAACCCTGGACCCTGGGATTCCGTGGCGAGCACGTTACCATTTAGCCACTGGGTCGAAATCTAATGTTCCATATTTCCAACTTGTTTGTTCACGACATTGGACGACCATCACCCAATGTCATCGTTGAGTATTTGTCTTCACGTCCACCAGGTTCGCCTCATCAGAGGAGAAAGAGAAAGACATCAATTAATGCTTGAAGAGGGATAAATAAAATGCATTACATAGACCGTTGCCTGTACCTTGTTTGAATATAAATATCTTAACACTTTCACCCTACAGCTGGCAATAAAACTTCAAACCAGTGACTCAACTTATTGTACGCTAATTTACACTAGCAGATTGATGTTTCAACTGCTTAAGTAACCATTCTGTAGCAAAAATACTACAAGCAACAAGCATATATATATATATATATATATATTGTTTGGGACAGTATGAAAATCAAACATGAAATTATGGAAAACAAAGCCAACCATTATGAATAAGGGGTTAATCACAGTCAGTTATCTATTCAGCGACCTTAAGCACATTCATGCAGTAGGTAATGAGCCAAAGCCTATTTTGTAGGGGCCAATTATACCACCTTGCTTTCCTAAACCTCGGTAGGTAGGGCGGGGTTCGAAACCATGCCACATTGTTTGAAAGTCGTCTCTCTGAACCAATGAGCCACAGTTCCATTCTAGGCTATGTGATCACAATCAGTGACTAACAGTTATAAACCTTAGAAATAAAAGCATTTACATATATTGGAATGGTAAAAAATTTGCTACACTCCTTCAAAACTCATAAAACTCACGATTTTACAGGATTTTTCTCAAACAAACTGCAAGTAAGTTGTACACCACATGTCTGACACATACGCAACTGATTTATACGATCCGGTAATTCAGGTTTCCAATTATCAGCATGTAAATTTTCATTGGAGTGAAAAGTTTCAGTTGATTTCAATAAATCGATAATTCCCGAAACTAGTTGATTACGTGTCTGTATGAGACCATGGTAACTTGTGATATCAGGATAAACTATACTTGCGTTAGTGTATGACTTTTGTTTCTGGCAACTTTCATTTACTGCCTCTTGTAGGTATACAAGCCAACCAGCATTCGCGACTGGAACATTTGGATATTTTGAAGTATCATAAAATTTACCATAAAATTCTTTCGCTAACAGTAAGTATAAATAAACCTGAAATAAAAAAAAAAATATTGAGTAAATAATAGATTCAAGTTAATATTAATCATACAGTGATTAATGACCGATAGAGGAAGAAAGTGAAAATATCTCATAAGTAACAATGATTGGGTTCAGTAGCTATTTATAAGTTGATCTGATCAAACTACAAAAGTAAGATATTGTATGAAGGCTAAAGATTTTGATGGTGCTGTAATCTCTAAGCTGGACGGTTTAATCGTGAACCTTTCATTGTCATTCTAGACATTCTAGACAATTCACAAAGAAGTGAACTATAGGGTTTTCTCTACAAGTGATTTAGTAGTTTGTTCTCATGCACTTGTGCGTAATTGGTTGTTTCTGACAAAGTCTTGTCATTCACTCTTGTTTTTTTTCAACCGGTTGTCCTGCTGACGTGAGCTTTGACCTTCTTTTGGTTCTAATTGTTTGATAGATTGTGTCAATTTTAATACGTCTGTTGATCGCTGACTACCAGAGAATTTTTAGAAGCTACGCATTCAGGTCAGTCAGAGACCAAGAGAAAAATTGACACTGACCCAATCTATCAAAGGAGTTCAGATTCATCAATTAGAAACAGAAGAAACCTAGGCAATTCATACGTTCTATGCGCTCAAAAGAGGCATGTGCAACCTACACCTTTAGCTTAGTTATCTCTCTAAGACATTAGTTTCTGGGTTTATTTTTCTGATCAACATTACCATTTTCAACCCCTTTCCTCACTTCGCAATCGTTGATTTCAATAGGATTGTCCCAATTTCGTACCTGTTCCATTACTAATTTCATAGATTACGACGTAATTTTTCGTAATCTTGTGTTATTACCGGGTGATGATTCAAGGCGAAATGCAAACTTGGGCCACGGCAGGATTCAAACCCCCGATCAACTGGTTTCCGACCCGATACTCTATCAACTGAGCTACGAGACCCGCCTGCCGACCAGATTTTGATTTTACTTCAATCACCCAGGTTTTAGCCAAATTCCATGTGAATTCATGACCCGATATTATAGCTTCATCGTACTCACACTCGCTACCCAGGACATCTCTTGTATTAACCACCAGCTGCTGATGGCTATATTTTAAACTTGAAAATATAAATCCAAATGTACAGCTTTTGAAAAAATTCCGTCCAAAAGAAAACATTCCTCACCGTATCGACTTCCGCTTAAAAAAATGTAATACCTTACAGTTTCCCCTCACCGGTTAACCTAAATTAATCGGCTGCCCATGCCATATGCGTTTACCTAAGTATGCAACCTAAGTATCGCACAAATACTGCATGATCCTTATCATTATTTTCCCTTTGCAATCCCAGTGGAACATCGCACTTCAGTAGCACGTATCCATTGCAACCTCTTCACCGGCTTCACAACTGCCCACAAGCTTCCATTTCGTCTTCCTCACACAATCTACTCCATATCATATCACCCTCACCTCGGACACCCAACTCCTCGTTCACCCATTTCCATTCCACTCCATGACCCGGCCTACAAAGTCATGTACCCAGTCGACCTTCTCAGTGTATTCCCAATCCATCTCCACTTTCTCCTTCTCCATTTTTGTTGGGCGATAGCTTCGTGGTTCGTCCGTTCCCAGAGTGACTTCCTTCTTGCTTATTCTTACTATTTATTCTCGCCATCTGATCTTTAGTGTCAGTATCCAGTGAGTGAGTCAGTGAGTGAGTGTAGGCGGCAGATGTTGATGACGTATGTGTGCAGTTTGTTGGAAATACTTTTCGTGACACACCAACTCTCTCAACCATCACATAGAAGCACTGACTGACTTGACTGACGTTAGTGTTGAAAATCCAGATCTCGTTCACGCTTTATGCTGAGCACAATGCAGTAGATCTCCACACTGTTTTCAGATTAATGCAGGAACGCCTGTCTTGCTGTCTTTCCGATCCTGGCTGGCTTTGACGTCCTCATCTGTGCCACCTCCTCTACTCGAAACAATGCTCCCTGTGTAGGTAGGTGAAAGAGACTACTCCCCTTACGTTTCTCACGTCCATGGTGATTGGTACTTGTTGTTCATGCTGTTGTTGGTTGGCTATCTCCATCACCTCTGTCTTCTCTACATTCTCTACATTCGAAGTCCCGTCTTCGCTGCCTCACCTCTTCTGTCAACTTGTCGGTTTTCGACAAGAGATAATTCAGCGAAGAAAATTTTCTTTTCCCACGATATCCTTTTCTATAGCTGTACAATCGTATTCATATATATCATTAATATATAACAGTCTATCATGAAACAGTAGCGCATAATAGGCATCATTGCTCGTTTTTGCCTGTAGATCTTCGAGTTTGTGCGTCAACGCATTAGACACAAATCATCTGCAAAATCCAAATATTACAAGGTCTTTTCATCGGTCAAACAGCGTATGTCCATCTTCTCACCGCTCCTCACGGTTTGCTACATGACCCAGTCCACAACAGTCAGGAAGATCATCGGTGATAGTAGGCTGCAGCTTTGTCTTACTCCTGTCTTCAATACAAATGCGTCACTCAGCTTTCCGTTGTCAATCACTTGGCATGTCGTGCTGTCATACAGCTGTTGCATGAAGCTGATAAAGCTTCCCGATACTCCGTAAAGTTGAACCAGCTGCCTGTCAAATTACTTCTCGGTCAACACTGTCGAAGGTCTTTACAAAATCAATGAAGTTGAGGTAGAGATCCAGTTAACTGCCATTCTATGCTCATGATGTGTAGTGTAGCGTTGCAATCTGATCCGCACATCATTTGTTCTTCCTGAAGCCAGTCAGTCAGTCAGCCAGCCAGCCTGTTCCCGTCGTAATTTTGAATCCAGAACATCCTTTAGTCTCTCCAGGATGATGCGGCTTAATACTTTGCTTGTTTTGGGTGGACAACAGCATGATTCCGCGCCAGTTCTCGTAAAGACTTAGGTCATCCTTCTTTGGAAGTTTGACAAGATAGCCCTTCTTCCAATCAACTGGCAGCTAACTTTCCTTCCTTCCAAGCCTTCTGCAACAATGGTGTGAGTATGTCCGCAGTTGATGTCTCTGCGTCTGTTTTTATAGATAATGTTTAGCAGACGCATATTTCTTCCTACTTCTGACTCGTTAGTTAGATGTACCTGCCTTCCAGTATTTGATATTGTTTCTACTGAAAGCAACCATTGCTTCAAACTCTGGTGAGTTATCCACTATGCTAATGAGTCACGATAGACGGATATGGTTTACGGTTTCACCAACGTTATTAGTGACAATAGGAGAAATAAACTGGACAACTACAACAACTGGCAAAAATATGGAAAGCAAGTCGCAATGCAATTAACACAGTAGATAAAGAGATAAAAAATATTTGTTCCCAAGAGCAAAGTGCTTGCAGACTATTCAGAAAGAAACGATAAAATGTTGTGTTGTTTTTAAAAACTATGCTATATCCTACTGTTAATAAAAATTTCAGTCGTAGGAAAAACGGGTTCTACCAATAGGTGTACATAAGTGTCAAAAAGAATTATTCCATTGTTGATGAGTTATATTTCAACAAATGTAGCGCTTCCCATGTACCACAGACATTATTCACCTTCGAATTCGACTAAATCTACCCAACTGACCTAACCTTCCTCCCTTAAACTCTTGATAATAACAGAAATGGTGTTTCACAAACAATTAAAAATATTCATTGATGCATATCTTTACTTCATTTTCCAGGTATAAATCATTAAAAGAATTAACCAACTCAGGTAATTTGTTGAAAGTTGGGAAAAGTATAACCAAAAGGAAGCGAAAAAAAACACAAAAATATATGAACAAGAATGTTCAAAACTTACTTGACCTTTATGTTCAATTGAATAAGATGGATTACCAGTTTTCAATTCCATTGGAATCACATTTAAAGTAGGTTTCAATTCACCATTTAAAGGAATTTGACATAATAATGTCAAGTCAATTTTGCCTTTTAAACCTAAGCTAGAATAAAGACAAATAAAGTGGAAAAGATAAATGTGTTTGTAAGAAAAGTTCATGCATCGATTTAATTAACTCGATTAGGTGTAATTACTTACCGTAGTACAAAGTGATATTTATCCAGATATTGAAATTAATTCAAACAATAAGGGTAATATAACCGAGAAATAAAGAAAAATATTCATTGAATGTAAAATATTACCTATTTCAGACAGTAACATCAGTAAAACATGTAATGAACATTTTTTAAGTGTCAGGAGTGCTAAATTTTGTTGAGCAAGCTTGTTATAAATGTTTACTGTTTTGGAATGCTCAAGTTCATAAAAAACCTTTCCTTTCAGTTAGTTGAAGATAATCGACAAACGTGATATGGATAGTATGATCTTCTACGTGTACGGAACAAGTGTTGAGTCATTCTTGTTATATTTATAAGGTGTTAATTCGACAAACAAAGACTCAATTATTAGTCTCTTCCTCCACCCCGGTATGTTAATTTTAGGGATTTCCCCTAATCAATATGGAGGCTTGCGGTTACTTATTTATTGATTTCAGGTTAGTATTCACCATGGGCTGATATCACTGGAGAAATATTTGGAATCTGGGAGCACTAGATAGCTGTTTCGTTCAATTATAGGACTTCCAAGCAGTCCGCGGCCAGCATGATACCATTGAGCGACTGGGTCACTATACCCTATCCTATTGTATGGTTGAATGCAATCGCATGCTCAGTTATGTATGCAATTACACACAATCACACAATAGAGTGGAACATAGCGGGGTGGAGGGAGAGATTGATAACTGGATCTTTGTTTATCAAATCAACGCTGAATACAGGCAACAGGAATGACTCAACGCTTGTTCTGGATATGTTTAAAATCATACTACGTTTGTCATAAAAAAGTCAACGAAATTCCAACTATATAAACCATGTCTCAAAGTTGTGGAGTTATCTTACTATGGTTCAACAACAGATTGTGTCTGAAACGTTAGCCAGTAAACAATCCTGTTTCATTGTACGTGATACATCTAATAAATCAACTGAAATAGAGACAAAGTTGTGCTTCAAACTATAACTAACGAAAAATTTTATGCATTCAACTTACCGACTAGACCATATATTTTCTTCTATGGCGATAACATCATCTACCTTCACCTGATTAGCATGGATAGGGCTAAAAAGATAAACAATAACAATAATCAACATTTTTCCTTAAACAGGTAAGTTTTAATATAATCCCAGCGTGTTTACAAAATAAAAAATAAGATTTTTCTAAACGTTTCGCTGTGTATATCACGGCTTCTTCAGCAGAATATCAGCATTTTTTCCAACTGACTGAGTAACACAGAAAGATTATAGACATTAGGGTTATGAAAACGCATGAAACTTAATGAGTTGCTTATATACGTTCACAGAGGGTTATAATATTAGGACATAAAATAAACTCATAAAACAACCTACATAAAATATAAATCAATCAAGGTAATTTTCAATTAACGGTAACAAGAAAATGTTTTATGCAATTCTTACTGGGTTTTGGTGAGAAATATAGTACACTAATCTAAGTTACGTAAGAAACGTTAAAATGATAATTGTTCGGTGTTCTTCAAACTCCGAGGTTTGTTCTTGAACGTTGTATCACCAGTACTGACTTTATATACAAGTGCAGCAACTGTAAGTTGCATAAATATTTATAAAGGATATTTCTCAACCTTGAATGCTATTGTCTTGTAGGTAGGTGTGATCCATCATTTTTTTCTTATTAGAGGGTGACCTTTATAATTATTATTTTATGATTAGTCCCTTGGGTTCCTAGCGGAACATAGAGCTTCAGTAGCACGTCTCCAGTGACCTCTGTTCTCTGAGATCTTTTGAACCTGGTTCCACGACAGCCCAGAAGCTCTCATTTCCTCCTCGCACGACCTCCTCCATGTCACCCTCGGACATCCAACTCGTCGATTCACATGGGGATTCCACTCGAGGGCCTGACGCGTGATGTCCCCAGTCGGCCTTCTCAGTGCATGCCCAATCCAACCTTTATAATAGTTGTTATTATTTAACCTATACCGCTGACCTGATATCTGATTATTGATTTCCTTGACTGTTTACCAGTTGACTGATCCCTTCTCAGTAGCCTGTACAGTACATTAACGTGTACGTGTCTGTTGGTTGCAATTTTATTGGAGCACCATGCTTCCAAGAACTTTCTTGCAGTTTTTGAGTTTGCTTGTTGCAGAATTACCATGTTATCCTAGTCAAGGTTGTGGTTTTGTTCATGTAAATGCATCAATATCAATAAGGATATATCACGTCGTTTGTCTGCAAGTAGGTAAGCATAAATGTTTCGACATATTTGACGACTGGATTGTTCAACATACTAATGTTTCATAGTCCTTGCAACTAACATTTTAGACTATATTTGTCTTGTACTCTTTGGGTAATCGATCCTTTGGCTTGCACAAGATGTACTCCAGGGATTCGGTGTGTGAGCGTACCACACTGATACCAAATTTATGAAGTAATCGGTTGACAGTTTCTTAATGTATGCAAAAGTGGTTCGTCTTGAAGGTTGAGGCAATTGTCCTGATGAGTGTTCTTTTGATAGACATTTTTTGACGAAGTCCACTAGACAGTCACTGGCTCTAAACCCTTTGAAAACGTAGTTTTATTCTGACTTCCACAGTTGCTGAGTCTTGATATGTGTGAATAGTGCTTGTACACAGCTCTTCTTATGAGACATTAAGTTGTTACTGTAGTAATTCAAAACGTGACCAGTATATATCAATTTCCTGTATACTTAAGTCTATAAGGTTTCATTGTGTGTTATTCTGATAAGCACATTCAGGAACGTGATTTTCTTATTTCCTTCTTCTTTGATTAAGAACTGAATAAATTCAAAAGTTTGCTTGATAAGATTAAATAAGTTTTCTCATTGACTTATTTTGATAATTAAAAAAGTTTTGTGGACGTAACAAATCCAAATTGTCAATTGGATTATTGGAATAACTATTGATTTCAATCTCTCTATCACAGTCTCAGAGACTAGTCCGGAAATTGATGAGCCCATGGCAGTTCTTTTAATTTGTCTGTAGATCTTCCCATTGAACTGAATGCACGTCGTGTAACATGGGTCGATTAGTTCAGCCAATTTTGTATCAGTACTTTTCGTACGCTTCCAAAGATTCTGGTTATTATTGATAAGGAGACTCATTGTGTCTTAAGAGAATTGAGTTGATTGGCGTGAAAAAGTGCAGTCACACCAAACGACATTACTTTTTTGACACTATCTTGAGGTCTTTTATTCTCTCCAAGAAATGAGTTTTTGAACTAACTGAGTGTTGACTTCCTTTAAAAAAAGATGTTTTAGTTTATTTTATTCCTTGAATAAATAAATTAATGGTGTTTGAGATAGCACCACTGCGTGTTGCAACAGAATATCTCTCTCCCGTACTACTTGGTTGACTGGAAAATTTAGGTAGTTCAAGGCCATTCGCCATTGTTCTTTTTAGGCAGTTTAACCAACTTTGATTAGATTATTCAGCTTTCGTTGAATTTGGTTGTCCAGTTTTTTGACAGAATTCTTGTTCAGTTGATAAGTGCACTTGTCAGAGTACTTCTTGTTCTTTTTTCACGTAAACTACTTCGTTCATGATGATCGATTTCTCTTCCTTTGTCTCTTGGTAGTAACATAATTTTGTTGTTTCACGTGACTGAATGCAATGCTTTCTTCTCATCAGAGTTGAGTTGGTACTTCTTACCTTTGATTCTCACCAAAAGTATGACTGGCAGTCATACTTCTTGTTTCTTATCTGCTGTTATTATCGTAGTTTTGAGTAGAGATTCAAAGCCTATACACAAATCCAGAAAATTCGCATTAAAGTTTAATCCTCTTCCGAATAAACAGTACTCTCCTGAGGATAAGGTTCTTGCAAAAAGGTTAACTGCCCATTCCTGTTTCGTTTCTTATTCCATTGATTTGAAGAGTTTGATCATTTTATCACTTTTCCTCTTATTGCTAACGATTTTCGCTGTTATATTTCCGCAGCCGGCGGTTGGATCATTACCACACTTCCTAAGATTAGTTATAATACTTTTAGTTGAATAGTCACCGTCCCACTGCCATTTGTGACCGTACTGTGTCGATCCAATATTATTAATGGCATCTATTAGCTGATCCACCTTCTCTACAAACCTCCTATAAGCATACACAGTTCACAGGTGCTTCATTATCGCAGAGTTTTAAATCACTGTGAAGTAAAACACCAACAGAGAGATCCTAAAAAGCATCATAAATATTTCCCAATAGCGTTCCCAGGTCAACATAGGACATCGGTAGCACGTATCCATTGCAACCTCTTCACCGGCTTCACAACTGCCCACAAGCTTCCATTTCGTCTTCCTCACACAATCTACTCCATATCATATCACCCTCACCTCGGACACCCAACTCTTCGTTCACCCATTTCCATTCCACTCCATGACCCGGCCTACAAAGTCATGTACCCAGTCGACCTTCTCAGTGTATTCCCAATCCATCTCCACTTTCTCCTTCTCCATTTTTGTTGGGCGATAGCTTCGTGGTTCGTCCGTTCCCAGAGTGACTTCCTTCTTGCTTATTCTTACTATTTATTCTCGCCATCTGATCTTTAGTGTCAGTATCCAGTGAGTGAGTCAGTGAGTGAGTGTAGGCGGCAGATGTTGATGACGTATGTGTGCAGTTTGTTGGAAATACTTTTCGTGACACACCAACTCTCTCAACCATCACATAGAAGCACTGACTGACTTGACTGACGTTAGTGTTGAAAATCCAGATCTCGTTCACGCTTTATGCTGAGCACAATGCAGTAGATCTCCACACTGTTTTCAGATTAATGCAGGAACGCCTGTCTTGCTGTCTTTCCGATCCTGGCTGGCTTTGACGTCCTCATCTGTGCCACCTCCTCTACTCGAAACAATGCTCCCTGTGTAGGTAGGTGAAAGAGACTACTCCCCTTACGTTTCTCACGTCCATGGTGATTGGTACTTGTTGTTCATGCTGTTGTTGGTTGGCTATCTCCATCACCTCTGTCTTCTCTACATTCTCTACATTCGAAGTCCCGTCTTCGCTGCCTCACCTCTTCTGTCAACTTGTCGGTTTTCGACAAGAGATAATTCAGCGAAGAAAATTTTCTTTTCCCACGATATCCTTTTCTATAGCTGTACAATCGTATTCATATATATCATTAATATATAACAGTCTATCATGAAACAGTAGCGCATAATAGGCATCATTGCTCGTTTTTGCCTGTAGATCTTCGAGTTTGTGCGTCAACGCATTAGACACAAATCATCTGCAAAATCCAAATATTACAAGGTCTTTTCATCGGTCAAACAGCGTATGTCCATCTTCTCACCGCTCCTCACGGTTTGCTACATGACCCAGTCCACAACAGTCAGGAAGATCATCGGTGATAGTAGGCTGCAGCTTTGTCTTACTCCTGTCTTCAATACAAATGCGTCACTCAGCTTTCCGTTGTCAATCACTTGGCATGTCGTGCTGTCATACAGCTGTTGCATGAAGCTGATAAAGCTTCCCGATACTCCGTAAAGTTGAACCAGCTGCCTGTCAAATTACTTCTCGGTCAACACTGTCGAAGGTCTTTACAAAATCAATGAAGTTGAGGTAGAGATCCAGTTAACTGCCATTCTATGCTCATGATGTGTAGTGTAGCGTTGCAATCTGATCCGCACATCATTTGTTCTTCCTGAAGCCAGTCAGTCAGTCAGCCAGCCAGCCTGTTCCCGTCGTAATTTTGAATCCAGAACATCCTTTAGTCTCTCCAGGATGATGCGGCTTAATACTTTACTTGTTTTGGGTGGACAACAGCATGATTCCGCGCCAGTTCTCGTAAAGACTTAGGTCACCCTTCTTTGGAAGTTTGACAAGATAGCCCTTCTTCCAATCAACTGGCAGCTAACTTTCCTTCCTTCCAAGCCTGGTTTTAATACTTATTTATACTTTCGACATAGCTGTTTGCTCAGGAGCAGTTAAATTGACAGATACAAATGATGGTGAAAAACCTATGTAACTTGTCGTACTTTTGAGTCGAAAAATTTGTCGGCTATAAGTAAGTTGTACGAAAACGTTTTCTAATCGTCATCCATAGTCTTTTTATGAGCATTTCACTATATATATACGCCGTTAAACTGCCACTTTGTGAATAAAAATTTTGTTTAATGGTATCAACCTCAAGTATTCTACCCAGTTTGTTTGTTTTTCGATATATAAAATTACTATGAGAACCCATTCATATAAATGGTCGTCTGAAAAGAATTTCCTTGCTTAGACGGTCAAACATTCGCCTAGATTTCTTTTGTACCGTATGGGAATGAAAGTAAGGAAGTGTGTGTATTGACATCTATAACTCTTCTGCACACAATTCCGTCAAGTGAGGTATTTCCTCGTCTACTTCACAGAGCATGAAGGAAGTGTAGCTTATTGTCATTTTCTTCTTCAAAAGTGAAGTATCTGTTATTAAATTTTCTCAACGATTCCCTTATATGGTCATTCTGAAACATTTCGTGAAATTTCAATTTGATCTCTTTCTTAAAAACATGCAGTTTAAAAAACCAAAAAGTAGCTTCAGAATAAAACAAACTGTCACACTTGGAAAACAAACACACTTCACAGTATATTAAAAACCCTTTCAATCACTGTAGTTGTAGACTTGTCCGTCAATTAGTTCTCTTCTAGTGAAAAAAAATAACTGTTACTGACAAGACAGAAGAAGAAGAACGAGAAGAACGAGAGTCAAACAGTCATCAAATGATTTTACCAGTACTAATTATAGCTAAACATCATGTATTTTAAAATGTTTTCTCTCTTAATTAACCTGGGATCTGTTTACATTTCACTAATTTACCACATGGATTACACTCTTACTTCACATAGCAGAGGCGATTACAATCCACCTTTACAAACAAACCTAACCTTTGTATTCAAAAGAAGTATATTCGACCACTTTCATTACCATAGCAGTCAACATGATGTAACTTGTATTATTGCGTTGTACACCTCATCCCCCTTTTTGTTTCAATCAATATTTATTTGTTCTCTTATTATTACGTAACTATTTATTGTTTACAACTAAACACACGTCAAAAATCACTCCATTTACCTAAGAATAACCTGCTTCATATTATCAATTCTAATTACTCTGTTGATTATTTGTATCTCAATCTCTAAAGCTTATTATCTTCATGACGTGTTTAAAATCTATAATTATTGTTCCCTAACTCTCGCCCCCCCCCACCACTTGATTGGTATTTTGATTGAATTGTAAACCTCTATGTTAGCGTAAAATCCAAGACGAAGACCTAATTGAAAAGGAGTATATTTCCTCGCTAAATCAGTCTTTTTTCTGGACTTATTTTTTTTCTGAGTTGCATTCAAAAGCTGTGAAAAAGTAATTTGTTCCAGTCCCCCCCCCCCACTTTAAAGTGGAGAAAACCACCACAAAATATCACTGATAATAAGTATTCAAATTGATAAATAATACCTTAAAGGTTAGAACATTTTCCTAAAGGTGATGACTATTATCATTATTTAAAAACAATAAATAAGAAAAAAAAGGAAGAAATTCTTGATATTTGTAGAACAACTGTTTACCGGACTCCAGGAGGTCGGTGCCAAGTACAGTGTGTTTGAATCCATTTCATAATTTTCGGTACGAATTCGTCTAGTTTTGTGAGAAGCAGTTTTACTTTGATACCATATATGTACCTGTAAGAAAAATGAAATGAAACGGTGAGGTCAGAAAGCAGCGTGATATTTGAACCTAGATTCCTCGTAGTCATCTAGTGTCAACGTTATAAATCAAAACATACCTAAGTTGAAAATAGAACAATGGTAACAATAAGCATAACCACCTTAATAAAAAGGTAGGCTAATCAGTGCTCATTCAGCATGATAGGTTAAAACGGAAAGTAACTAGACATGGGATCACGAGGATCATACTTCTACTTTGCATGCCCGTGTGAATAACTGAGGTTAGTCTTCTTTTCATTCATTGGTTCCAACCATAAAGTGTCTGAATCACTAACTTGATAAACCTCAATCATATTTCAAGGACACATTGATCTAAGCACTTAACTTTCCATCGCTAAGTCACAAACAAGTTTTCCGGTTACATCATTAGCCTTCAGTATGATGCATTCCTCATACGTGTGGCACATCTGATTGCTGAGTTGGATTACTCCCTTACAGATTCCAGTTCAAAGTCACCAAGACGATACATCAGATAGAGGTTAAAGCTACGTAAGTAGCAAGTTCTAAAAGCTGCCAACAAACTACCCTTCAGAAGATATTTTGAGCAAACAAACTGTCACAGATACAAGGGTAATTTTAGCATAAAACAGAAGTTGTATTGCTGTTGCATAAGAAGTGGCTATTATGATTCAGTATTCTAGTGGATAACGCTCTGGTGTTTGAAGCGATCGGTCTCGAGTTCGAGTCCTACTGGGAACAACACTGCTTACTGACAGGCAGGTACACCCAGCTAACGAGTCCAAAATAGGACGAAACGCGCGTCCTCGATTCTACTTCTAGCCACTATCCATCACTAATAAAACAGCAGTTCCTGTGATCTGTTCAACAACTCATAACTTAAATTACCAGCACAAGAAGTAAGTTAACAAATTGGAGGGGAAACTTCTGTAACATTCCAATAACTAATATAACTGATGAGAATTTTTCTCAGTATACTCTAACGCGAGAACTATGCGTAAGTGTTAATTCAGGAAATAAGAGTATTTGTAAATGACGATACATATTTATCACGATAAAGAATAAAACATTAACTCACATTTGCAAAACTGTCGATGAACGATGAATGAGGTCAGAAATTATCTGCGAGATAATATCTCGTCGAATGATCTTATTGGAAATAATCTACAAATAGAACATTATAAGGATAATGGTTAGGAGGCCACGACAAAAAGATCAACTAGAAAGTGAAACATGTCCACAATCCCATCTGTATTGAACAATTATCTTCACTAAAATATTATAAATCAAAATGAATAACCATAACAGTTGCTGATCCTAAGTTGATATTCATCACTGACTGACATCATTTGGAGAACTGTGGGAAACCCCCGGAGCACTGGATAGCTCTTTCCTCCTAGTATACGACTGCTAGACAGTGCACCAGCTACCGGGCCCAGGACCTTCAGCTTCAGGGGCCAGTACGTTACTATTGGAGCCACTGGGTTGGGTTGCTTATCCTATAGTGAGCAGTTATTATTGTGTATGCCTAGATTATGCATGCTCTTGGTCCGTAAGTCCCAATAAAATCCTTAAAATATCTTGGGAAAAAATAAGAGGTTATTCAATTCTTAAACCGAAAACAAAAATGGAGGTATTTGTGAGCCTCTGATCAGATAAATACCGATCACAATAGTCACAAACAGATTCTCTAAGTTTAGGCTGATAGTCACAGTTAATAGGAGACAAAGGTCATAACAGGATCCAAGCCAAATACGTTTCCATTACTAGATTAGTTAGTGTCTTATGGGATTTCCATAAGAGAATCAATCACGTATTTATTCCCAAGACAAAAAATATGCAGAAGAGTAAAGAAGTTCATTCAATGTCCATTTGATTTGAACCAAGTATGAAGAGGAAAAATTCAGAAAACACGAATATACAGTTAAATGCAATGCAAAACATGAGAAAATTAACAAGCCTAAATAACATGAACAGAAAAATAAATAAGCTATTACCTTTTGAAAAAGTTCATGAACTAAACTTCCAGTTAACATAATTTCAGGTCCATAACTATTCGTTTGATTTTGATTTGTAGCTGAAATTTCATTGTCGCCATATCCACCATCAGAAACCCAAAATTGTTCTAGCACTGCACGCCTTAAACAGTTTAAACTACCAACAACCTTTGTAGTAGGCAGTAGATAATCTGGATGCAAACATACTGCACATCCGACAGGATTATTATGATCAGATACAATAAAAACAGAAGTACTCTTTACAGAGATTCTCTTATCAACCAATATATCTGGAATAACATTTATAACGTCATTTTTTCGAATCGGTGAATCCAACCTGAATAAAAAGATATTTTTATCCATAAAATTTAGCTACAAGAAACAACAGTTACAGTGAGTCACTACAATTTCCAAACTTCCATATTCTAAAACAGCGCTATAGTGTTTCTCAGATGCACCCCACTTTCCACTTCAATAACACAACACAGTTCACTAACTTTTGCTGTAGCTCTTTTCATGAAGTGCGAAAATATCTGTCAACAGTTGTAAAACCCAGACGAGTACCTAAACTCAGTTAGAATATCGTACATGTATAAACCCTATATGTTACTAACACTACTAAATACATTATTATTCATTACGTCGGTACCACTGTCCAATTTATTGAATACAAGCACAACCAACAGTAGCATTTGTTTACTATGATTAACAAGTACTCGAAACGCTCAGGTGAAATGAAAATCCACGTTATTCTTATCTGAAACTCACGTCATGAAACACCAGTCTAGTATTGCATTAAATGATTGACTGCATATTTTGTAGCTATTCAAGACCATACAGGAGGTTTGAAACAACAGATGTCAGGGAACTAAAAAAGTTCTAGGAGTCATACAGAATGCATCAATTAAATTTTCCCACTTCATACATATTATAATAACAGCTCTACTGTTGCACAAACTCGAAGATCTACAGGCGAAAACCAACAAGTTGACAGAAGAGGTGAGGCAGCGAAGACGGGACTTCGAATGTAGAGAATGTAGAGAAGACAGAGGTGATGGAGATAGCCAACCAACAACAGCATGAACAACAAGTACCAATCACCATGGACGTGAGAAACGTAAGGGGAGTAGTCTCTTTCACCTACCTACACAGGGAGCATTGTTTCGAGTAGAGGAGGTGGCACAGATGAGGACGTCAAAGCCAGCCAGGATCGGAAAGACAGCAAGACAGGCGTTCCTGCATTAATCTGAAAACAGTGTGGAGATCTACTGCATTGTGCTCAGCATAAAGCGTGAACGAGATCTGGATTTTCAACACTAACGTCAGTCAAGTCAGTCAGTGCTTTTATGTGATGGTTGAGAGAGTTGGTGTGTCACGAAAAGTATTTCCAACAAACTGCACACATACGTCATCAACATCTGCCGCCTACACTCACTCACTGACTCACTCACTGGATACTGACACTAAAGATCAGATGGCGAGAATAAATAGTAAGAGTAAGCAAGAAGGAAGTCACTCTGAGAACGGACGAACCACGAAGCTATCGCCCAACAAAAATGGAGAAGGAGAAAGTGGAGATGGATTGGGAATACACTGAGAAGGTCGACTGGGTACATGACTTTGTAGGCCGGGTCATGGAGTGGAATGGAAATGGGTGAACGAGGAGTTGGGCGTCCGAGGTGAGGGTGAAATGATATGAAGTAGATTGTGTGAGGAAGAAGAAATGGAAGCTTGTGGTCAGTTGTGAAGCCGGTGAAAAGGTTGCAATGGATACGTGCTACCGAAGTCCTATGTTGCACTAGGAACCCAAGGGCGAATAATAATATTGATTAAATCAACCGAGCTAAAGACATCCAGCTTGGTGGATCAACATATCTTGTAGCAGTATCATTTATTACACAAGTAAACCGAATTTCTGAATTTTATGTATATAAATCTGCCTGGTCAACATGGGAACTTCAAGGCAGCTACGAATAATCTGCACCATCGAATTTGACCAACTTCTGTGAGAATTTACTATTGGGTGTTGATCGTACACACCTGCAGAATCATCATGGTTTTGCCTCCGAGTCAAAGACTCTTTAACTGAAATGGAACACGCAGACAATATGGTAGCAGCGCATTTACGAACATCAACAAACTGCATAGTCTTTTAAACACCTTGAGTGAAGACCTAGGATTGTTTGAAAAGTATTTTGCACTTTTCTAATATAAAGCAATACCTTAACACTAAACTGTGATGATACCCACTTACTTGTGTCGATCCAAACTCAGATATGAGCAATTATGATGAGAGCGATAACCGACACGTAAATATTAAGATCGACAATTTAGATGTGAATCATGTCTCTACAAGAACACAATATCCCTGCTAATCTAAAGATAACCCAAGAGAATATTTTATATCAATAACCATTGAACAAATGGATATAGCTTTCGGAAAACTTCTGTTATAATACACCGTATAATACTACTCAGTAACTCACCATGAATCACGGAGAATAATCTTCAGCTCACTTGTGCTACAATTATTATCATTATTATACACTTGGATCAATAACTCAGTTTCATCGCTGAAAAGTAAAAAGAACATGAATACAATCTCGCTTCGAATAAGAGAAAGGCATTTTAAAGAGAATAAGGACCAGTAGTGGAGTTTCGTAATGATGTGCAGGTCTACGATAATGAACAGAAAAACAATCCAACTGAGCAACCAAGTGCCAAATAGAGACAAAAGAAAACGACATAGAAACTCGCACAAAAGCGCACCTACTCAATTTATCAAACAGTGCAGCAGTATGCAAAGAACAAGTGGGTAGGAAAAGTGATATTAGAGTAAACAAAAGTCTATAGGAGGAGAAAGAATTTAAAAATGAAGGTTAGCCAAAACCATTAAGCTCTGAAGTAAATACATCTACGCCATTGTGACCAGTTTTCAACAATCGCCAATCATTGATTCTTATTATCTCAAGGACATAGACTAGGCAGTCTGGACTTGTATACGCTGGTCTAATCAACAGTCAGAAGCCTCAGGAGTTGGTGCAATTTCCTGTTTTGGCCACCCAGAGCCTCCTCTCAACTAAACCATACTTCTTCAATCACTGATTCCTCTCCTCTCCGAGACCCCACTCAGACAGTCCACATCCCTAACACGGTTCAGACCAACAATCAGTCAGTTACCTACTCCCACAAATTTAGACAATGTGGCCATCTCATACCAAAAGCATACTCTTGTGTAGACAACCGATTCTCCTAACAACTAAGAGTTACGGTAGAAAAATAAATTTCCAAATGAATGAAAAATAATTGACACAAATATCTAGGCTGAAAATTGTACAGTAATATGGCAAAATCAGAAAACAATAAAACAATTAATAAAGCAATAAATCATGTGGTAAATATTTTTTTTAGCAGAGATAACTATGAGATTGACATTCATGTCACAGAAGTATGTGCATAAGTACTGGTGTAAATGATTTCTGCATGTATGTGTCTAGGGAGTAGTACACAAAGTTCATCCCAGTGAATCGTTCACACAGTGTGCATCTTAAGCTGGAAACACAGTTTGCGTATGGAAGAGAAAAAGTAAGATTATTGACAATAGCAACACGAAGAAAGAAATTAGAACTGTCAGTTAGATATACACATTCTTACTAGATTGAAGACTAATTTGTGAACGGGAGAAGTTTTTAGGTAATCAACAACATATGAGAATTAATGAATGTTAAATGAATAACTGCAATTTTAAAGGAAAACGATCTTTTATAATTCTATATGTGAAGAAATTGTGTAGTGAACAGCATATAAACAGAGTCACTTGCTACAGTCAGAGTTTTACAGTAGATCAAAACATATCTTCCCCTAGATTGTGAATAATAAGTTTAATCTAGAAATATTAGATTTTCCAGAATACTGGTACCAAGACTTACTTGACATTGTTTATAACTGAAACTACGAAGCTTACATTCTGTTGCCTATATTTGTTTATAAAATGCTGAATGAGAGTTTCCGTTGATTTCAGTTTCTATGAGCATGCACCTCAGTTATCATAATAATGAATAGACACAAAGATGTTTTCTTAATTATGGTGATACGTTTATATGACAGATTCGTAGTTGAAGCTCGAATATTATTTACGCAAAGAGAGCACTTTACTTTTTTACTTATTTGAATTCACTGTCTCTATGCCCTTTTTAAGTCACGGTGGATTGCTTGTTTGAGTGACCTTAAAGGGCAACTCTCAAGGCCAGCCTAACAACTGCCAAAGTAACTAATCAGGTTGAGAGTGTTGGCTAGGAAGACAATATTTTGTAGAACAGAGAAACGTGATTGGTTGGTTCGTCAGTTGCTAGGGTGGCCTTTAAAGCCGAGTGATTTTAAAGACCACCATGCTAACAACTGGAATTACCAATCGGACTTATCTATGAAAATTTGGCTTTTCAGTCAAAATAAAGAAACCTAATTGGTTATTTTGGTTTTATTTTCAATGCTGCTCCCATATTGGTTGACGTTACTTTCACTACATCTATAATTTTAGTTCGAGCAAAGACTAAAAAAACATTCTGTGCATGTTTCAATTTGTTTTCTTTTTTCGAATGCTACGTTGACGAAATGTTCTTCATTCTTTTCCATATTTATGTCAGGTGAAGAAGTCTGTGGTATCCAGAATTCTGAGTTAGAAATCTTGACAATGGCTGGTGTCGCAAAATAATAACCAAATGTTGTTCTTTCTTCAAGTCGATAATTTCCTGCGAAATCGACTCAAGCATTCAGACATTTTGTATAAATTGGTGTTAAAATTGTCTTATGTTGTAAGCAACTGATAAGAAACCTCGAAATAAGACGGATCTATGCTATTCTGCTGAAACTGTTGTTCTCACTTTATTTAAATATCCCAACAGAGTATACTACTGCTGGACAAACTGAGTAGTCAAAAACCACTTCGGCTGATTTGTAGATTTCACCGACCAAAACAGAGATCTAAACACCGGACAGCCGTTTCACTCCATTAAGTCCAAACTGGCTGTATGAGCTGGACTTGGCTGGATATACAGGTGACGAGCTCGGTCCCAAACAAGCGAAACGGGTGATCTGGCTGATGAAATCTACAGACGAGTCTAAGTGGTTTCCAACTACTCAAGTTGTTCGACAGCAGTATACTTCGCCAGTTCACAACACTTCTGTCAGATATCATACTTTATGACCTTGGCAGAGTGGTTTTCAATGGAAACTGTTGACACCATAGTTGTGCAGTTGAAAAACTACTCGGCTGTGAGACATATCAAAGTGAACCATGCAATTTATAAATCATTTGCAAATTGGTCGTTTTAATACCCAGACAGTTGATCCAGTATAGTAAGTAACAACTAATTTGCACAGAAAACTTGAATTACTTTCCCAGGAACTAAGTTGACAGTAAAATGACCTCAATTTATATTCTTCACATGAAAATTAAAAAGGAGTCCGCAAAAATGATCGATAGGATTCGGTCAGCATCCAGGACGATACAGCATGAAACTTGTTGCTCTCCCGTGACCGGTCAATGTATGTAACTCTGTCCTACAGGAGGTCAATCGTGACAAAAAAAGCTCAGTGGTGACGTCACTGACAACAACACTGAGTGACGGTGATCCGAGCCTCAGGTGGGACATCAGTTTCAATTAGGTTAGAGATGCGCCTTGCTGACGAGTGTTAACAAGCACGAAACTTAGGTTTAAGGCTTCCTGTCCACTGCTTCCAACCAACTAACAATTATATCTGTATATGTACAAAACTTTTCACAGGGAAACCTACAGATTCGATGACGCTTGAGTGATGTACACAAACCAACTTACACTATTAAAATGCAAAGTTTTTCATAGAGAGTTGCAATGCCTTCGCCACGCAGGCATACAGGAAACACTTATAAAGATCAATTCTGCATAGAAAAGTTGACTCATTACAACAAGAATAAGAAAACAGAACTAAATAAATTACTTCAAGGATTTAAAAATTTACACTACACTTATCAATAATGACTAACCGTTTCTGATTAATTTCCAAAACGTTTCCACGTACAAAGGACTGGTTCGGGATTTGGGATAACTGGTCGTTTACAGTACACTGCTTGTCAACCCTTTATAATAGAATTAAGCACTTTTTCGGTTTTAAAGAATAATAATCATTAAAGTAACTACTAATACTACAGCGTTTGTCGAAATTTATTTTCCACACACAGAAAATAAAAACACTATAAGAATTCAACTAACCGCTGGCAGCTTCTTAAACTAAATACGTGCGACATTTCGTCAGCTGCCAATCCACATGGTATGGTGATCACACCAAGAGCTTAACACCATTAAGCACTCTCAATTCATACTTTTTATCAAGGCACTAATGAACATCAGTGCCGGAGTAGGGTTTAGCATTCAGGATGTGAAAGAGCACCAATGAAAATTTCAAACTGCTGACTAAGGTTTTTAAAGTAGTATCACTGTCTTCAACATGACTACGCCAGTTTCATACTCGAATATTAATAGACAATTAGAAACTGACTTCAGGATGACAATGAGCTCACCCATTGAACTAAGGTGCCGATCGAGGATATCATGCTACAAGTGTGATTGTGACTGATATCTACGGTTTTCAAGGTTCAAAATAAAATATATAAACAAATTGAAGAGGTTGCCACGGGATCACCAATATCCCCAATCGTCGCAGACATAATTATGCACAGTTGGGAACGGATGATCCTTCAGACATTTATTCCTACTTCAAAGATATGGTTCCGTTATGTAGATAACACATTTACTGGAATCCGAATACATCAATATGTTCTTGGCATATACAAATTCTGTACTGAACATAATGTTGGACTACAAGATTAAACGAACACAGGATCAAAAATTAGAAATTACTGTCTAGAGGAAACCTTCCCATTCGAATCACCATAGCATATCTCGGTTAAAATAGGCTTAGTTAAATGCCTAAGTAATACGGCAAAAATGCCTACTAGTAGGAGAAAAAATCTATGACGAGAAATTAGACACACCAAGAATATAATGTTGACTATCTGAGAGGGCCGTTAGTTAGCAGACTAGTATTGATACTGATTGATGATCGAGATTGAAATGAAAATCTGGGCCACGACAGGATTCAAACCAGGGACCACCGGGTTTCCTGCTCAGTGCTCTACTAACTAAGCAATGAAACTCAACTGCTGACCAGATTTCTTTTTCACCTCAATCACCAAGAGTTTTGCCGGACTGTCATATTAATTCGTGACGCGTTACTACTGCTTTATCATACTCATATTGACTGCTCAATCAAAACTTCGCATCCAATCCCAAATCTACTTGAATTAGGGCGGGGGGGAGCACCATACTGATTATCATTTTGACCATCTGAGATAGCCATGATTTGGCAAACTAGTACTGACAGTGAGTCTCAATAATTACCCGCTGACATTTATCAATAAATTCAAAAGAAATCGAAAAATATGAGCATCAGTAGTAGTAGCAACACAGGTGTTATTAATAATAATAATACTAACACTAGTAATAATGGTAGCAGGGCTCAGAAAGAATGCAAAGCCACTACTATATTACCGTGTAAAGAAGGCATCACAGAAGCGTTACGAAGAATTCTCAATGAGGCTGGGATTAGAGTGGCGTTTAAACTAGCAAACTAGCTTAGAAACAAGCTTTGTCGGCTGAAAGGTCCTACTGATCTAATTAGGCAAAATAATTCAGTTTACCAAATTCCCCGCAATGGTTATGAGGTTAAATATAAGTGTCAAAGTAGTCGACCAGGGTCAATTAGAATAAGAGAGGCCAAAAACTTATCTAAATCAAGATTAGTAGATCATAATAAGATAAGGAATTTAGAGAAAAGCTCGGCTATAGTTATGCACACAACTGCACAATCACCAATCAATAAAGCGGGACAGTATTAAAAACTTAGTTGGGCGGAGGAAGAGAATGATAATCGAATCTTTGTTTATCCAATCAACACCAAATACATGCGATAAAAATGATTCTGTGCTTGTACCAGATATATAGAAAATACTGCTAGCCTTATCATAAAGAAGCGAAGATGAGAACTATATAAATCATGTCTCAGAGTTGTGGATTTACCTGATATGAGTATGGACAATAAATTATGTCCAAAACGCTATCCAGTAAATAACACTGTTTTAATGTGTGACATTTCTAATAAAAATGGAATTACAAGCAACTTACTTTACGGGCTCATCCTTACCAGGTGACCAGTCACTTAAATTTAACGCTTCTAATGGTTCGTCGTGCTCATGGATATGTGTTTTCTGCTCATCATCTTTCGGTGTTTGTGCTGATTTCAGTGGAGTAGACTCATGCTCACGTGATATGCAGCCAGATGTGCTGCTCGTCTGAACAACCAATTCGTTCAGAACATCATCTAAAGCAGATAATTCTTCGGTATTTAGACGAATTTCCGTAGAAATAGGATTTGGTTTCTTATCAGTCACTGATATATTGACATTATCAGAATTAAAAAGGCAAGAGTTATTTAGCTTGTTGCGCTTTGACAAACCGCTAGGTATATTCACTGCTAACTCATCAATCGACTTTCGTTTTGACGTCACGCATGTAGAAAGTGCTGTAGATACCATTATTTTAGCGCGATTACTAGTATATACAGAACGATATGTTTCATTTTTAGACACATCAGTATTTGAAGTCACTCCAACTATTTGGTCCTGAGGAGCGTAATTCAAGAGATCATAATTGCCCCGACGAAGTTTAGCAGAAGCTTGTGCCTGTCGGTTAGAGCACATTTGATGGTTTTCACTCGGATTAACTGGGTCGCTGGAAAGTAAGTCATTCAATTTTGATCGTAGAATTTCATCACGTCGAACTGTGAATGATGAACGGCGGGTAACTGCTTTTGTTTTACGTATATGTGGAGATTGCATTTTATCAATTTGCAGAGTTCCTAAGACTGCTCTGCCGGTTATCGGTAACTCTGAGATTTTAATACTAGGATCCGGAGTTCCAGGTATGATAAAACTTTCATCGCCAGTAGACTGTTTCGAATCTATTGATTCAAAAAGACGAAATACAAAAAGTATCTACACACTGTCTTTCGAAGAATGTAGATACAAAAATGAAATATCCGAAAAACGGGTTACACAAAAATTATTGTTTTGATGGCCATTTCCATTCAGAAAAAGAAGAGATGCCATACACATATATGACTAGTTAATAGAGGGTGAAAGCAACTTTGAAAATTTTAGGTCGAAATTCATCATGGGCTGACATTAGTTGGAGGAATATTGGAAACCTGGGAGCACCGGATAGCTGTTTCGTCCAAGTATGGAACTTCTCAGCAGTGCGTACCCACGACCCCGCCAGGGATCGAACCCAGGACCTTCAGGTCTCGTGGCCAGCACATTGACAATGAGCTTTGAAAACTGTAGAAAGGTTTCACGGCAGAAATGACGAATATATAATATATATATATATATATATATATATATATATATATATATATATATATATATATATATATATATATATATATATATATATATATATATATATGGTAACCTTAAAGTTTTACAGTGTTTTATGCAATTATAAAATCTTCGTAGGACTTCAGTAGTGGAACACAAAGAGTGAAGAATTGTGACGCCTACTCACTTATACTGGCACACTTGGAAAGCAAAACAAACTAACGGTGACCATTTATAAGATGCAAAGGATATATAAAGTCGTAAACTTAGTCGATAAGTGGAACTTTTGTATTCTTTCAAAGAATACTGTTACTAAATAAATACTTGTTCAAAGAATCATGGCGAGTTAAAGTCAAATAACCATAAATCGAAGATTCAGAGTTAAAAAATGAAACCTGCGAAGGGTACTCAGCAAGACAGAAAAGCCGATTGTTGAGGTTTTGAACCTTAGTCGACTGAGATCGCTTGGATATATACTGCGAATGCCGAGTCAGCTCCTATCTCCATGTGCCATACTAGGGTAAGCTGAAATACGTTGGAAGAGGGTTTAGGGAAGTCAGACCAAGACGTGACACCAGTCAATGAAGACTCTGACTGGTGGTTTGAGTCATGGGGGGAGATGCAGACTGTCCAGTTGGGGTCCCCAGTACGAAAGGATTCAATTTGTTAACTTTTAGAGACGTCAGATTAAATGGATTCAAGTGGTAAAAAAGCATGCAAGCAAACGAAAAATAACATACAATAAGAGACATAACAATTAGGCGGTAAGGACTCTCTTACCTATTAATACTGGGCTAGAATTCAACACTCCGTTACTGGGTTTCGACGGTGAATCTGCTGTCTTCTATTTAAGTGAAATGAGAATTAAAATATAAATCATATATATATATATATATATATATATATATATATATATATATATATATATATATATATATATATATATATACCATATCATATAAACGGCAAATGGTGTAAACTACTCTACAATCCTGAATTGCAAATACATTTCAAGCTTAAATGCTCATTTCATCCCGTTTACAACCTCACAAGGACATTAATTTATAGTACACAGAAGAAACAGCCATGTCGGATATATAGATCCATAAAATATGGTCTTGGCTAAATTTTCTTCCGAAAAAAAGCCTTACTCGTACCAAATATGAAACGATACTTGATGAAGCCACTGTAATTAACTTAGTGTTATTCAAGTGGATGAACGAGTTACATAGTGATGCCACAGGATGGCCTGGATCCTCCCCATTTCAGTTGTTCGGAAAAAAGCTATCCAGATATAGTGACTATAATAATGGTAACAAATAATTTACTCACAGATATTAAAATCTTTTCAAGGATTGTGAAAATTAATGACTAAAGAGCAGAGACAATATTTAAGGTGGATCACATGTTTGACGACTTCACTTTCGAATCAGAGTACTGATGTAAACCAGTCCTGGGGTAACTTCTTATACTTATTAAGGTGAGGAACATATATGAATCACTCCTAAATTTCACGGCAGTATTCATAATGCAGAACCACTGAAAACCTGAGAGCACTGGACAGCTGTTTTGTCCTAGAATGGGGGTCCCAGTAGTGCGTACCGATGACCCCACCAGGACTCGAACTCAGGACTGACACGCCACGAGATGAGCACATTAACCATTCAACCTCTGAGCGAGACTCTAAAGCTCCACATTTTCTTTTTTCTATCAATTGGCTACACAGTATGCTTGGATTCCAACCCAATGGCTGATCTAGTTAACGTCCTCACCAAGAACTGATGGTCGTGGGCGCGCATTACTGAAGAGTCCCATGCTAGGACGAAAAAGCCCTCAATTTCTGCCAGGTTTTCAATAGTCAGACAACTAATTCCGGCTAGAAATGGACACTACCTTGAAACCGACCAATCCCCACAAACCAGCGAGCTGAAATAATTGCTAAATTACTAAACACAGTATTTACAGCTTTGCATATTGGAAGTATTTTCATCTGACAAACTGTCTTTTGTGTACTTTAATTCGTTTGAGGAACCTTCGGTGGAAGAATCAACTTCTGTGAAGTGAGGATAGAAATGAATACCCCTTCTCAATAAGTTTACGACAACGGTAAATAAAAATAAAGATGGTGAATTCCTTTAACGGACACCACTTATCATATACATTTTACGGTATCAGCCCCAGCAGGCATTGGTGTGACCATGAGTTCCAGAGTTCAAGATCTTCAGTAATAATATACATTTTCGAAAGTAATAAGAGTTTAAGTAAGTCTTTTCACCGTACAGTACAATTGAATCAGTTTAGGCTTGTTCAAGTTAAATCCAAGTAGCAATTGGTTTCCTTGTTTAACAGACGAGATGGTTTCCTTTTGTTAATTGACTTGCCATAAGACTTAAAATATACAATGCACCATTTAGTTTTAATTAAACTAATTAAAGCTAGTAACATTCTTCTATTCAACTAACGCTAGGAATTTGACATCCGGTTTGAATAGTTGACTGCATAGAATCCAAGTGCTTCATAATAATCTCTCGATACTTTATATCCACTGAGCTTACAATTTTAGAATATAAAGTAAGTTTACATACACTGATACATTCTTGAAAAATCGTAAATATAGTACTAAGAACACACTAAATAAATACAAAAGTGATGAAGTTCATTAAAACTAATGCACACTTTTAAAAAAGTATACTCACTTTACCGAAAAAATTAAGTAGACTTGACTGTTTCATTTTCACAAACCAATCTACAATAAATGATAATGATTTGCTTAGAGACCTACAACCAAAAATTAACAATCCATTATGCGCATTGAATGGTACCTAAAATTAAACTTCAGTTAATAACTTCTATGTGATTTCACTGATATGTTTTCCTAGTTTCTCATGAAGTTTTATCGCACACAGCTATAATGACATGTAAACCACTCACACCGCTAATGTACACTGAATAATCGAAATCAAAAAATCTTCGAATCTGACTTTATCAATTACAGCCACATTTGAAACAGCTCTAGTTGTCCTCGTAGAAAAGATAAAGAGCGACAATCAACAGTCCCACCAGTAAGCTGTTATTATTGTGATCGAAAAACAGAATCGGAGTATTTAATACATATGAAAAAAAAAGAATCTTCATAGTATCGCGCCCCTACAGCAAAAACCGCCTATACAAATAGCTAATTATTCCGAGCTGTTACCATCAAGTTATCAGGTTCATTTATCACCAAACTAGTAGTTACAGAAGCTTGATAATAATCATTCAATAAAAGCCACATACCCTATTGACCTTCAGATAATTCTATCTCTGAAAGCAATCACCGAGAAAAATATTGAGATATTTCTCCTTAGTAATTTGAGTTTTACCGATCGCTGTAATACCCAACATCACTGGGACGAGTAAAAACATTTACTCTCTTATCATACCAGTCTGCTATTCCCAACAATCTTCGAAAAAGCTGCGTCATATTTTCCAGTCACACCACATCACAAAAAATAGAAATATATGGATACTTGGGGATTCAGTCAACCAAAATGAACCACCGACTGAGGGTAAGGAGGCTGAAGAATAAAAGTCATTGCATATTGAATTTATGACGCTCAGAAGTGACATTACAGATTAGACACTATCCTCCACTAAAAAATTAGAAATTTAAGACACCGTTTTAGAATAAGAATACTGTTTCTATTCGTTACCCTCTAGTTCTGATTTGCGTACGTCTGAGTCTAAATAAACGCCGAAAGACTACATATAGACTATATATAGTTTGAGTAAACATGCTGAATAACAATTCGAGAATGTTTGTGATGCGTTTCTCACCCACCAAATGTACACCATAGCTCCAAAATCGAGTTGCGCGGATATCTCTTCTCACCACTGAGAGTGAACTGAATGAATGTGATGACCATCACGTTTATACAGGAAGTCAGATCAAACCTATGTAGGTCAGCGGTCTACAAAATCTCGCGACCGATTTGATCGGCTTTCTTGAATCTACACTACTTATAGCAACCCCAGAGATATATCAGTAACTATCAAAGGTTGGTCTTACTGTGCTGACTCCAGCTGTAAAAGGTGACCAATAAAAGCGGAGGCTCCAGGATCTCGATCACTGTTACCTTCATAGCATCGCGCTTGTCGTGCAATAAGCGCATGAAAAGTGTAAAAGTTTAGTGTACAGCCTTATGTAAAAAAGCCAGTTGATGAGGTCGCAAACTTCCACCGACTGAAGTAGATACTCATGCAAATTCATTGTCTATCTCAACGAACTACTGGCTTAAATAGGGTCACGTCGTTAAGAGCTAAAACATGGTATCAGCCTATTTATTTTCTGGCTGTTGTTCTGAACTCTTTGCTGAGGTGTCGACCTGCGTGGCAACCGAAACCGACTGATGAAAACTGTAGGTAATGTGGCTCAGAATCAATCCCGCTAGGTCATATGAGTTCACGTTTTATCTGGAACTTATCCATTATACCCCAACCCATCATCCTCGTAAATTACTCCTTCCTTCATCGTATTGCTGTTTCTATATCTTTTATCTTATTGTCTTGTATTCCTACGCGCTGACGTAACCTAAGCTACTTAAGCGTGGAGATCTAGAAGCAATCTTTTCACAGGATGAACTGAAAATGACAAGTGCATAGACTACGGTCTGTCGTTCATTACCCCTTCGTGTATCTGTATTCACGAGATTTTGCAAACCATCTTTGATACAAAAAAATTACACATTGAAACATGAGATCTCTACTTTACAATTTCGCAACCAAATATCATTTTTCTTCAAAATGCCACCCCAGTCCCACCGAATGAAATCATCCTAGGGAAAGAAACTGTGAGAATTGGTCCATAACCAATAACTCGAATTTACTAAACGGTAACACCAACTTTGATGTGCTTGAAAATATACAATACTGTGAAGTTCGTGGAATACATATCACCTTAAAATGTAATTTTTCACCATCGAGAGTGGAAGTCACACTTAAAAATCTTTAATACAGCCCTGTTTATGCAGCAGTGACCGAAATACCTTCCTTAAATTGACACAATATGATCATATACTGATTTTCGAACACTCCATGTTCGTTTGTTTGTTGGATATTTCACACAGTGAGACAGTATTATTAGCTGGATGATGTTCAGAACAGAATTTTAATGTTCATATTCACATCAAAGACAAAGCCATATTTCTCATACTACATTTTTATACTTCTTTTTATTCCTCTTCACTTATCGTATATAGGTAGCAGGAATTTTCAAATATCTGAAATAATTTATGGTAATGATAGGCAGTGGGTAGCAGTGGAGTCCAGGATGCGCATTTCGTCTCATTTGGGACTCGTCAGCTGGATGTACCTGCCTTCCAGTGAGTGATTCTGTTCCCACCGGGACTCGGACTCGAGAGCGATCGCTTCAAACGCCAGAGCGTTATCCACCACACCACCGATCCACGATAGCCACTTCTTGTGCGATGGGTATAGTTTTAGTGTTAACGCATCTGAAATAATTGTTGGATACTGATCCTCGGAAGAACAAAACAGCATGGAACAAAATGATAGTCCTTAAAGCTAACTTATCACGGTAGAGAAAGAAATGGATAGTTGAGGTTTTGTTAATCGAACAAACATTGAACATATGCAACGGGAATGATTCAACCCCTAGTCCAGATATTTGGAAAATTTTACCGTTCGTACGACAAATTAAGGTGAAGGAATAAAGAACAGGATGTGAAAGATGTGGAATCACCTTTGATATGAATATGAATAAAAATTCTGTTCGAAACGTCATCCAGTAAATAGCACTGTTTCACTGTGTGAAATATTCAAGATACAAATTAACATGGAATTGTAGTGGAATTTTGCATATGTCCAAAATCAATTTATAATTATTCTTATAGTGTAGGGAAGCGACTGTTGTTCATGCATTTGTAAAGTACTGATTTGATAGGCGAAATCTCCGGGAGCTTCTACACACCAGATTTTCATTGATCGTATCAACGCATAACGCTGACAATGGGAACGATTCAATATTAATCGCTGATATGTACGAAATTCTACTACCACAGAAATAGAAATTTAGAGGCAGTCAAAACTATAGAAAACAAGTATCAAGAGTTGTGTAACTACTATGATACGATTTTAAGCAACAAATTAGTATCTGAAATATCATCAAGTAAATGATACTGCCATATGGGCTAAACAAATTTACCAGCTTGGTTCAGAAGGAGCGCGTCTAGTCGACACAGGGCATTGCATAGATGCCAATAAAGCTTTCAATTTCATTCATCGTGTTACAAAAACGACACCACGTGTAGGTCACCAACCCCTGCTCAACATAGCGGAGGCTGTCGCAATAGGATTGATAAAGCCTGAAATCTGCATTCAGAAAGAACATGTCCAAGCGTTACTTCTTCCTTGGCCTTCAGCTAACTAAAGGCCACTTACAATTCAAGAAAGATGTTGCAAGTGACATTCGATCACAACGCCTAGCTACAACAGTCAACAGGTTTTATGCAGGTCGGCTTTGTATATCATTCAGTAGTCGGTAAATGCTGAGTCCGAGACTAGAGGATAGCCTGCCTAATCTCAGCTCATCATCTTGCATATATAAATTCAACTGTTCCTGTGGAACTGGTCACACAGGGCATACAATTAGGCAGGTGCGTCTCCAGATACGAGAGCGTTTACCAGCTTGGTTATGAAAGGGCGAAGTAAAAGTGAAAAGTTCAGTCCTAGCGCATCTATTCGACACAAGGCATTACATAGATGCTAATAAACAATTTTATTCGGAAATCCCACTCTATCACAGTGCCCAAGTCCTAGCTGCTGAGTCGCAAATGGTACGGCTCAACACAGTTCAACAGGATAGATATTTGTGAAAGAAGTAGGGAACGAAACGCAGTAGGCAATGAGCCACACTTATTGTGTGAAGGCTATTGATGACACTACCTGGCCACCCAAACCTCGGTAGGTGGAGCGGGATTTGAACTCGTGACCAATTGGTTGAAAGACATTTAACAAAACGAATCAGTCACAGCTCCGCTGTGAAAGCAACTGTTAAAAGGCGCACATTTTCTGTAATTAAGTCAAAACAGATGTACATATTTCACTAAGTTTAAACGCTAACAAAAGAATTTTACATAAAACATAACGCAGGCATGCTCCTGTCTCACTTGTTAAACTTCACAACAGCATAGAAAAGAGGAAATACACAAACAGGATGAGAACAGAACAAAGGTAAAGTATCTAGAAGTACATTAGAGAAGACAAGAAGTTTAATGGAAAAATCTTTTTCAGTGACTGCATTCCCTAACCCTGTATAAGTGCAATTTTAAACGTTCTATTTACGATAACTTTACCGTCACAAGTATTTTTTGTTGATGAACACAAGGATTAAGTCATTATGGCTTAAAATACGATGTGAAAAAGATCTAGTGTCATAAAGGGTGAGAATTAAACATAAGAATGTACAGAAACTTAAAAGGATGAAGAAATTGAAAAATACATCTCAGATATTAAAATAGACAAGAACCAGACATGATGAGAAATGATAAAGGTGAATATACCCAAACTGCTATGTAACATTTTCAGTCACATCAGTAACCGTCAATTACTATTGACTTACAACACCCAGAAGAGCAGAACCAGGTAGTTTACACCTCCTGAAACAATTTACGCAAAGATTTCATGGATTATTGCAAATGTTGGTCAGTTCACCTATAGGCTTTCTTCAAGAACTAATCCCACTCATCTTCAGCTATGAATCCATATTTACAGCACTAATCCATCACTAACATCACTGTGAATTCATAGTCTCAGCAAAATGACTACTTGCATAACAATCTACATCTAACCTTAACACTAATAATTCCACGATTCGATCATTTGTGACCAAAGACGTGTATGTAACCTCACAACGTATCTTATCTTCAACAACTGTCTTACAGGCTTTAAAAATAAAGAGACAACTGCAGTACACTATGCTAGTTATTTATTTGGCAGATGGATATCTCACTAGCGAACACCAAATAAGCTTTTTGTACCTGTAAGGAGATTTTGCATGTGAGGACCCCAGTACGGTTGATATGGACTACTAAGTAAGTAAAGCGATCAATGCATTCTGCTGCTTTACTACCTATCTCTAAACTATGAGTGGATCCGAACTGACCTTTGTGAATACATCTAAAACAAAGTTAAAAAAGAATGGTGAGAATGGATACCTCCAGCAAGGACCACTGATTGTTGCTATCTCAGATGAAAACTTATCGTCACCTACGAAAAAATATGAATACCTGATACTTCTGATGAAGTCAGACTGCCACAAAACCAGACTTGGGTCAAAATATGGGTAACAGATGCAGATAAGTATGACTGTGTTTCGAAACTTATTAAACGATGAAGATATGACCAATGAACACCCATCTAGGGTGAAAACTTACCTGATATTTACGAATTTCTAATTGTAGAGGTTCAACTAGGTACCAAATGACTTTGTCAACCACCATGACTCTCTACCATTACGAAGACCCTTAGCCAGTTAACACTTAAGTTCCTTTTAGACCTCATCGTGATCACAATCAGTTGAGATGAGTTTTTTGGCATCAATCAGTTCGAATAAGGTTGCAGAAATCCACTGGTTTCTATCACTGAGAAGTGTGGCAACTTGAGCCGATGCACTCATGTGCGAGGTTCTACGTTAATTTTGTCTGTCGGATTATTTCCTACTAACCTTTTGTTGAAAGTTACTAATTTAATCGAATAAATTATTACCAGAATGACAGTGGCTACTTTTAGTCTTACCACAATCTACCCAACCTTTTAGGCAATGTAGGACCCCACAAGGAACAACCATCTTAATCAATGTAGCATTTTGGATAATTGCGTCACATGAGCTCGAACAGTGACAGTCAAGGTAACAGCCATCCGTTCAGATAATACATTAGTAAAAATACTGGTCAAAAAAAATGCCTTAGATGACAAGCTTCTTAAAATGTTGACTCCTTACCATAGATATATGTTATAATTCACTTCCATATAAAGTAAACGCTGAAGTTCCTTAGTCTGGTGGTAAAACATCTAAGAATAAACCTCAAAGGTCAGAGACCAACAAAGAATTGTCCTCCTTATTCTGAGCTAAAAATCGTTTCTACTATCTCAATTCAACTCTGTACACGCTAAGAAATGTCTATTCGAAAAACTTTCACCTTCACTTGTCACAAAACAAACTTTCTAACGTCTGCTTCTTATGTGTAAAACTATACAATGTTATCGTAAGGTGAAGTAAAAAAAATCTTGCTCAAAAACAATATTCATTGCCACACTATTTCTCCTTCTGATTACCGCAATGTGATACAATGAAAAGTTGAAAATAGACGGATTGTCATATTAATTTTATAAATCCAAAACAAACCACAAATTCAGCGAACTATGTCATGATAAAAGAAATAATGTAATAAGTATCGGTTTATTATTGCTCTGAAGATAATTACAAGTAAAATTCTTTCAAATAAAAATTCAAGTACAAATAAAGATAAATAATACGATAATACACTCATTCTGGATTTACACTGTTAAAATCATCGAATCTGTTTCTCGTAATCAAAAGCAAAACTTTTATACATTTAAGTGGAAAGAATAAAAATCCCATTATTGAATGTCGTAATTATTGCATAACATTCTTGAATTATGTGAATAGTAGTATTCACTAGGCTATTGTTTGTTTTAAACACGTTCACCGGAATTAGTAACATCAACTGAACTATGGTCTACACCTTCTTCTGAACTGACCTCTTGACATAGAAGAGGGCTAAACTCATTTTCGAAAAGAATTATGGTGTCAGAAGCAATTTCATTAGGTGTGCCTTCACGTGATGGATTTGTTTGACAAGGGACCAACAGACTGTAACGTTGAGTTGGTTGTCGGTCTGAAGAGAAATCAAGACGTCTCACGCTATGACCTGGATTGAAGTGAAATAATACAAGAATTATTTTGATGGCACAGCAACACATTTCAAGTGAATAAACCATTTTGTGGATTAACGCCAGTAGCTAAGAATACACTGAACTTCAGTACATCAAACATTCGATAAAAGGCTTACCAGTTCAAATAAAGTTATAGCACTATAAAGATGATTACACAACTATTACAAGGCTTTTTTAAAACGAGCTCATACCATAAATGAACGCACTTTGATTTAAATGAAGAAAAAAAGTCACATCGAAATGACAAATACTTTCTAGAGATTTTCTCACTGGGCAAAGAAAAACATCCAAATGTGTTTACGTGACATCCATCTATAGCACGTGTACGCGGATGAAGGAAAGAGATAAACTATGTGGGATATATATACCGGCTGAGCTATTAAGTACAGTGTGACTTGAAGTTAGTGAAATAATTAGTCCAGCAAACTTCAGTATGACAAAAAATATAGAAACGTTCGCAAACAATGTCATATTCACGAAGACTTACCAATATGTCTCACATGTTCTACAACATCACGTCGCATATCTGATAAATCCCACATAGACCACCAAGACTGACAACAATTCGTTGACTGAGAGTTTGGGTCAATATAAGACACACTACTGAATGAGAAGTGATGCGCTATTGCGGCTATAAACATCTCGATACATATGGCAAAATTCTATATCAATAAAAGATAAAGAACCAGAGAGAAATTGAAATAGGCCTAGACAGACAAAAAAAATTCAACGAAGAGCCCTACAAATAAGTGGGTCGGTTCTATTTACCACACACCACAACAGCATGCAAACAACAAATCGATAGGTAGACAATGATATCAAAATAGACAAGTGTACAGGAGAAGAGATAATTTAAAAAATGGAGATTACTGAAAATGCCGTTTTAAAAGATACTAAAGAATGAAATTGTGACTGGTTTTCAGCCATATCACTAAAGTCCCCAAATATTGATCCCTATCATCACGAGGACTCCAAAAGAGTGGTCCATACCTCCAAACACGGTTCTGGTCAGCAGTCAGGGGATTCATGGATTGGTGCTACTTCTTGGTTAGGATACCCTGAATCTCCTTCCAACTCAATAATACTTCGGCTAACACTGCACATCGAGGAAGCGGTGGCTTGGTATGCGCAACACATGTCCAAGCCACCCCAGCCTCTGAATGTTCCCAACCTCATCGGCTGACTTGACTTCGTTGTCTTACACTTTTTCTTTAATTTCGACATTGCTCATACAATGAGTCCATCATAAGTAAACAGTGCTAACAAGAAACCTGTAATCTTCGCTTATCTACTTTCAAAATTAATATCTCACTCAAGTGCTACACTGAGGATAAGTACCATAAATTTATTCGTTTGGATACCTATTCTGGTAGACATGGGAAGAGAATATGTAGAAGTAATGTTCATAATAATTATCAAGAATTAAAGACAATCAAAAATATCAACAGTGAATAAACAGCTTCTGAAATTAATCATGTTTAGCAGTATCCACAGATTTCCAACTTTTCATCGTGAGTCACAAGGAAAAAAGATTTACTTGAACTACCGAAGCTACTCATACGTAGCGAAAATACTTTAAAGGGTTTTATGTAAAAAGCAATAATGTGACAGCAGACAAATACATGAGAAAATCAAACCTTCTTCTTACTTGAAGAGCGATTACTATTGAATGAACATCATAAAGCTTCCAAGCCTCAACTTTTCGTATCACACCACTAGCAGCCAGCACAGCAATTAGAATAGACTGCCTACAAGTAAATAAAAATATGAAAAGTGAGATGAAATAGCCCAAAATACATAGTTGGGAAATGCATCAATCATAAGTTAAAGCTACCGTACTAACAAGAAATGAGAACTAATAAAATCAATCAAAAAATGACTGAGGAAGATCCAGTTCTTACTGTCGATTGAGTAGATAGATAACAAAAACCTAACTTTAGGATGAATACCACATTTAGCTCTTTGTCAAGTACTTGCGTTTCATTTGAGCTTAATGTACGGGCTAAGAAGCTGAGAATTCACTTTGTTTTATCGATTTTTGATGGTGTGTCACGGGTGGTTTTTTTCTTCTTAGTTGTTGATTGCTCTAGTGGTTAGTAAGTTCGCTGGTCCTCGTCACTCAACTTAGTGACTAGTGGTGGCGTCCACAAGGTGGAACCCAATCGGCGCATATGACGATCGCATCACAATAGTATAATTTTAACCACATAACACTTTTTGGCAACACAAAAAAATCTCACTGAGAATATCAGTTAAAGAATTTGAATTGGTTGTAGAAATTATTACATCACTTTTAAAAAATCCGATTATGCTTAAAAAATCTGAATGTGGGTACACAGGATGCATCGTTCATGAAAGACCGTCACATTTGGGAATGAATAACACCGGATGTAAAATAACCAACTTCATATGAAAACTTACCAGAATGACATGAATACGACGAACTTGACGCACAAAAATTTAGCGACCGGTTTCATAGGACTCAATTCTTGACGAGCACATCGATAAAATAATACCAGACAATAAAGCGCCCACTATAAATGAAAACATCGTGAGTAAATATATAACTGTCATTATGAGTATCCACTTCATGCAATGCTTCAGACTAAATGCATCAGTGATCTTCAGGTATTCTTATTTGAAGTACACCCACCCTATCAGCCTTTACAAGCACCAAAAATTGTCAAAATCCAGTATATATATATATATATATATATATATATATATATATATATATATATATATATATATATATATATATATATATATATAAAAATTCGTAAGCGATAATGCTAAATAGTTCCAAAAAAGATTATCATATTACTGAAGGCAACTCCATAGATTTACGGACTTGGCAACTTACACTGCTGTATGAAAGTCACTGGTTCAAGTTATCGCCAGTCAATAACAAATGGAAAGTTCACAAGTAGAGAAACAAGTACATCAACGAGAAAAGCAGCGGACATTTTAAAAAGCGTGTGAAATCATGAGCTACTCTACATTCAAGACTGGAAACTATTTTATTATCACCGAGTACTGAAATCCTATAAACACCCGTGGAGAAGCTTATAAATCTGCTTTGTTACGAATGAACTGTGTACCCACTACATCCATTTATCAATGAACTATAAGTGGAAAACAGGTAGGGATACTTTTAATTGCTGAATTGGAAGTATAGTTTTCATAATGATACGATTTATCAAATAATAACAAAAACTGCCAGAAGTAACCATAGTAACTACTGAAAGCCATATAAATGTAAATATTGAACATAAAAACTTACAATTTGAGAAATATTGTTTATGACAGTCAAATACAAAAATGCATAGTGAAAGCTGAAATCGCCTTCACCGTAAACACCAACTAACTCACAAATTCTAGAAGAAAATTAAAAAATGAATAACCACATCAGAATACTGGAAGACCAGTTCACAAGATTTATATTAGACTGTTGGTTTGATATAGCACAAGGTATTATTCACTGGGTGACGCTTCGAGCAGAATTTACTGTTCATATTCGTATCAAAGTAATCACATGACTTTTAACCGTGCTTGATATAGTCCTACAGTTCTTTCTTAAAATAATACGGAATTATACTCTACCACAGTTGCTAATTTTTTCTCTTACAGTTCACAGGATGCATGGATAAGATATGAATAAATTAAATCCCTTAATATGACGGCGACAAAGAAATACTGAGGCAAAAGGATACTCAGTAAGGAAGCTGATAACAAATACAAATTTCGGTAAAAGCAGTAGAAACTTTCACTTGCCAGTAATTTCGAATACACCTATTGTGAGGTCAAAAACTATGCCGAAAGGAAAAACTGGCGAATTTTCCTCCTGCTTGCACTTTTACACGAACAACATGATCGAAAACAAGGATTATGATTGAATAGTAACATATGCGACGAATATACTTTTCTTATCTAAGATTATTACAAGATTCTTAAACTTAAGAAATCATACATGAACTTAAACTGCAAGGAAGCTGAACAAGTGAACCTTAGATTCCGCAGGACTACCCAACCTAGAGTGAGATAAGTAAGCAAACCTGAACGATCCTAGGTTCAAACGAGTTGTCCTAGCTTACTACTGGACTATTACTCAGTTAATAACCACCCCAGCTTTACATGATTTATTCAGTTCAATTATCATTAAAACTATTATACAATACCAAGCATATAAGGTATGTAGCTTAACTGAACTAAAACTTACCTACGTAAACTTGAACTATTTAATAAGCACTCTGATTTGAGACCTTATTTTTTATTGTGCATACACAAACCATTAAAATTCTATTTTGAGGTTTGTGGGGATTCATTAATTTCACCTTGTTATTCATCACAGAGTGACGGTGGACTGGACAGTCTTCACCAGTGACTTGCTTCGAGATGAGATTCCCTGAAGTTTTAATGAGAAGTTACGACCTGTGAGCCAAACCTGGTTGGGTGTAAAGATATACTCAGACAAGGCATTTGATGACATTTGCGCTATATCGCGAACTGATAGAAGTAGGAAAATGTAGACCAACAGATTCCGAGCCAGTGGATCAATGGTAACGTGATCACTACGAAACCTGAAAGTCTTGGGTTCGGTCGCCGGCCGGGTAATGAGTGCGAACTGCTGAAGAGTCCTGTACTAGAAGGAAACAGCCGTCCATTGTTTCCAGGTTTTCTGTGGTTCCACAACTCACTTCCGTCTGTGATGAATACCAACTTGAAGGAAATGAGTTAACTTTATTCAGTAAATGTCTTTATTCTTGCACTGTTCAAATTTGAAAAGATTCTACTGCTGGAATATTGTCTGGTAGTATTATCACACTTTTTATCACTACATTTCTACACTGTGGTTTGTATTTTGTCTAAAATGTCGCCTAGAAAATCAATTCCCGTTTTATCGAATAAATAAGCAAGAATAACGCCTTAGCTTAATTTCAATACTTTAGACTACCAAATCGTTTTGATTTGCTTGACAAAGCCAAGATAGGATCTACGAAAATATTAATATTCTACCCATTCTCACATTCAATAGTTCAACTTACAAAGCTCTTATAAAGAGAGACAAATATTAGTGGATTCAGGAAACAGATATGGACTACAAACCGCGTAAGTTCAAGTGCACCACTTCAAGTTAACTCACTACACAGGTATCCAAAGAAAAGATGGATAAAAAATAAATGGCATAAAAGCCAACAACAGCGTATGACAGCAAAGTGTACACATGAAAGTCAATGAAAATACTCCGGACTTTGATGACAAAGAGTATGAAATTCAGCATCAATGTACCTAACTTTAGCCACATCAAAAAGAGTCTTCAACTATCCATTCTTAACGTCTCTAAAACCCCAGTCAGGCAGTCTACGCCTCTCTACGCCACTCAGACAGCCAACGAACTCATGGACTGGTGCTAGTATTAGTCTGGCTACCCCTGGTTTTCTTCCAATCCAATACGAAATTGAAAATATCGAAATGCACTCAGTAACCTTGTGCACATTCGTGTAGTAAGCAATGAGCCACACCTATTGTGTGGGGGCTAAGGACACTACTTGGCTGCCCGAACCTCGGTAGGTAGAGAGGGTTCGAAGCCGAAACCGATTGGTCAAAAGTCATCTTTCAAAACTAATGAGAAATAGCTTTACTCAACCCAATCCTACTTCGACCAACATCGCACGTCACAATAGATAACAGCTTAACATGAAAAACATATTTCCAAACCCATTCAGTCGCCAAACTTTCACAACTTCATCGACTGATTTGCCAATCGTGTTCTATATTGTGTGCCTAACCAAGTTTATTTACAAGCTGATTCCACCACATACGAGCGATGCTGCGAAGGCATATACAATTAGAAACCTGTTATTTTTATATCTACTTTCAACGTCTTCTTACTCTTACTGTTGTTCAATGAGCAGCCAAGTAAAAAATCAAGTCACATGTGAAGTCTAAAGTATGATTTTAAAAAATTAGTCCGTGAGCTGAGAACATTTACAAAATAATGAGTGGTTTTATCCGGAAAGAACACATTTTAGTTTGAAGTTGCAAAGACGGTAAACTAGAACTTGACACTTCTGCAAAACCATACGAAGTGCATATAAAATAAGTTTTTACCACCTGTTTTAAATCATATAACCATACTTGAATGCCACTTAATCAATAAAAAACTGAAATGCTTGTTAAAAAAACAGCACTTACAGTGCAACTGCAGTAGTGAGTGGACGAATGACGGTATACTGCAGAGCTCCGTGGCGACAACGGTCTATGAACTTCCTGTAATAAAAACAATAGAAGAGGCTCTCACAATGAAACGACAGAAAAACTTTAAACCCATCGAAACTGATCACAATTAAGCCACAAAATATTCTCATTAAACCATTCCTTAGCAGAATATAACACCTACAAGTCCACCCCCTATCACCTACTCATTAGCTAGGTAGTGACAGCCCTTTGAGTAACGCTGATCTTGGACTAATAACTTTTCCTGGTAATATGGTAGTGTAGTAAAACTTGGGAACACAATCTTAAAATAAGTGAAGATTTAGGCATTGAATCATACAGCTAGGTTGGGCGGAAAAAAATAAGCATAATTAAAATACATGTAAACTGTAGCTGGGTAGTATCAACGAAACCTAAACCCACTCAACAAAATAGTGAAAACTTGTCCAGTAGGCAATGAGCTACACCTGCTGCATGACGTCCAATGATACTACGTTGAAAACCAAACCTCGGAAGGTTGGAGTGGGATTTCAATCCATGATACATCGGTTGAAAATCATGTGCTTAGACCAATGAGCCACGGCTTGGTATCAGCTATAAACCAAATATTGCGTTCTCACCCCACTAGAATAGAACCTTAGGGCCAGATACGATGCCAAACTTACTCGAGTTGCCACAATACATGAAAGCAAGTTGAAGTACAAGGCTTGTGTGAAGGAAGAAAAGAAAGACAAGTAATTCCGTCACCTGAATTACTTAAAAGTCATTGAATTACTGAGGTAATAAAAACTGAAGTGATACAAATACTATTTCAGAAGAGTATGAAACTTAAAAAGAGGAAATCATAGAACTAACAAATACCCTATCACCCCTGAAGTATCGAAATGGCAAAAACATAGAAATACACTCAGCAACCACTGGAACCTATTGTGAGAACGTTACAGCTACTTGGTTGCCCACACCTTGGTAGGTTGAGTAGAACTTGGTCTATCACCATAAGGCTGAAAGTAGCGTAACTGAACTAACCAGCTACAGCTCTACTCAATTTCTTTTGTCTACCCGCAAAGTACACCAAAAATAGTCTCTAAATCTTTCACGGATATCACAGTTCATATAAGCACTACTCGCTGTTTAGCGGTCTCGAACATAAAAGTTGCATTGTCCACAGAACCATCAACAACTAAGTCATTGACTACCAACATCTACATTGACCCAAGTTTCACTAACCAGAATAGAATGATATATTCATTAGATATTCAATCTGTTAGTGAAGATTTGCATTCACTAGCGTCAATTAGCTAACATACACCTACAGTTAAGGTTTACAACCAAATAGCTTCCATCAGACTACAGCATATATGTCATCTATTTGTTGGTATATTTAACAAATCTTATAACTTCACGTGTTAAATTGTACTGAGATACAACAACCTATCTGCTAAATACTGGCTTCTAATTTGTTGGCTCATTTTTTCAATACATCTTAGTTCATACTTCGCGTTATCTCCTGCTTTTAACACCGTCTGACCCAAGTGGATCAGCAGTGTTTGGGATAATAAGAAAAGATAGTATTTTGAGAACATTCAGAAATCAGTATCCTAATGGTACTAAAATTTGGTGAAACCAGTTGACTATCATATGATCAGGGAATTCGGTGTACGGCACGTGGTGCAGTTTATAAGCTGTCCATTACATTACCATGAAGGGCGAAATCAATTAGTTCTTCCCAATTTTGGCAGCCTTTTAAAAGGCTGATGCATATAATCCCTGTTATCTTGATGTGATAAAATCCAATATGTAACTATCGTGTATATACAACAATGATAGACATTGCGAGAAGATAGACAGAAATCACTAGGAACGTCCTACATATCAACGAAACTAACAATCAAAATTACCTCCCCATTGGCCAAGAATTGAGGCAGCAAAAAGGTGGTAAGTGTTTCACCGGAGATTTTTGACTAATAACATGTCCCAAGTCAGGATATTCGCTTTTCAGATAGTTGAGCAGAAACGCTAGGAAGTTGTATATGACATACGCTTCATAACATTCCCTCAGTGTATCGAAGAATATTGCAAACTTTGGAAAAATAAGCGCCATCCACTGTAGTGACAATGGTCAAATAATAATATGCATGCCATTTACCGCATCTATAGCGTATATCGGGACCATCCATAAGATCCTAAGGTAAGTTTATTCGAAAAATAATCCAACCTGATGATGTGTCTTTGCAGGAACGGTTTGGTATAATTAATCACATGTTCGATAATGGTCCAGAGTGATATAGGTATTGCTCCAAGAACGAAAAGACCAGCAACAAACCAAGCACTAACTATTGCTGGAGCTGATTTTTCATACAGCTTCAAGATCAAAAAAGGAAGCGTACAACATATCAGCAAAGCATATAAGATAACAAACAAGGGTTTAACGTAAACGCGCCAACCCATCAAGTTTGGGTAAAGCGCGAACTTCGTCCCATACCACTAGGTCATCTGACATCCAGCACTGATAATACTGTAGGGTCACACACTTCCCCAAATACAATAGCCTAGGGTTCGACGACATCCAACACCGATGCTGACCTTGATAGTTTAACTGGACTCGCTAAGCTGAAGACACCCGGTCAAGCATCTTCGCTATTTGGCACGCTATCGTGTTACGTTGTTCTGCTTGTATTCGACTCTCTAGCCAGTTAGTTGGAACGCATTGATATCTTGGCACAACCACCCAAATATACTATTCCATCTGACTACGCTATCGTGTTCTTCCTTGGTCTAGTATTCCTGGGTATATAACGAGTCGGAATAATTAGTGATTGGTCTTTGCGTCTGTCAAGTTCGCACCAGGGCAAATCCTAAAATATGTTTGCAGGAAACTAATGGTTTTCGATCTCTGGCACCTAGTTATTAAGGCTTGGTTCGCGTTGTTAAGTTCTCTCCTTCAGCAAACAAAGAAGTCTCTTCTGCTGTCTCGCTTTTAGCCGCAGAGAGGTAATAGATTTTGTGGGTTGATAAACTGTAATTTGTAGAGTGGTTAAGCAGCTTCAGGTTGCTGGAAACATTGGAGGTCTGTCACGACTCCTGTCTGTATATGCACCTGAATAGGAATAGCAAGGCAATGAGAAAAAGCATGCGGGGATCGCCCGAAGGGCAAAGGTAGGTAGCATGAGTTGAACTGTTAGAGAAGAGTTAGATACTGTAAATTTATCAACAAGCGAGGTGCCGAGTGGTAGTTAGAGGGAAATTAGTGGTGGGCTTATGAGGTTAGTGACCCCCTGAGCATTTCTGTGGTAAATCATGCGAAATGAGGCAACAATCCAACCGTCTTTTGAATCAGTTTACCGAGGCAGTTGACTACATCCCGTGGTAGGGTATTCCATAAAGCACATCCCGTTAAGGAGAAAACGTTGCACCCGAGCCTGATGTTAGCTCCCCGATATACTACTCTGCTGAGGTCTCCTTGTGATGACCACCGCGTTTCAGGCAAGGCTAGTTTCTTTTCGTGCTTTGGCTGATAGATGTGCTACACCTTCCAACAATATCCAACATCGGTGGCCCAAGTAGAGAAAACTTGTCGTCCCTGAAATTTCGCTCCCAGATCTTGCGTTGTTGAAATACCATTGGCTCTGCTCACCAACATGGCAATGAAGCTAGTGTAACTATTAGATCTTTTTCATGTCCACATAACGGATATTTTTTATTTTTATTTTTTATTTCATAAGTGCATTTCCGAATCACCAAATTCTGCCAATTTTTTGTACATTTGATGCTTTTGGACGGAAATAAATTGTTAAAAATCCTGCAGAAGGTGACGATGTACTGAACCAAATATTTTACCACAACATATGTCCAATTTTGACACATTCAGTCTCCACTATCATCTCCTCCAACCAGATCTTCAGTTGATAGTTCCACTCCACAATAAACAATATGCAGAGATTACAACAGAACGAAATGAGAGCCGATCACTCGAAGTGGTTGGGGATTATACTTCATCACAGACGACCCCAAGCTAGCACTGCAACTCATACATCTGTCTTGACACCGTTATTGCATTGAAAGGTTTCAAAAGTATACCGCAGGCTGACAAGCCATTTATGCCCTCTAGCGCCAGCAGAAAGCCATGCGAACCCTCGACAAGATACTTCTATGTGCTTCAGTCGATTCTCAACGCTCTTAACTCCCTCCCGCACAACCACGATGCGCATATAGTGCACCCTCATGGTACCAAAATGCAAATATGGCCAAAATAAATAGATTAAATTGAATCAGCCCAATATTGGCCCGGTAAACCTCTAGCTTGCCTCCAGTCCTTTAAAGTGTCTTAAGTTTTGCTTTAACGAGCAGACAGCGGAGCAGGCTTTGAGGCCACTTTGCGCTACCTTTGTGCTGGTTAACACGCGCATAATTAGTCTCTGGTTCTGCCATATAAGCCAGATAAGTTGGATGAACGTTTTTCTTGATGATTGCTACCGAATTTATTCTTTTTAAATATACTGCTCCTTCGAATATGCCTCTGAATGGCGATCCATTTGATTTGTGCTCCGCTATCGGCGCCAACTCGTTAAGCAAAGTACCGATCAAGTAGGTACTAGAGCACGTCGATCTAGGGTTGGTTAAGCGTTGCTTAACGGTAAAACAAACAGCACCCCTACAGTTGGTGGGCCCTAGAATCCTTCTCTTATTGTGTCTGGCGCCTTGCAAACCCCGCGGTGATTCATTTGTCCTATTTATCCTATTTCTGACACTGTTTTGTCTTCGTTTTGCATCACGCTTTCCGTTAATTATTTTATATTGTAATTTTTTATTATCGATGTCGTGCCACATCATATCCCTTTTCAATGGCTGAGAACGACGACTCTGATGCACAGATGGACACACCTTTTCGGCTTCTCACCTGGGCCGTGAGCCATCTGCATGGTTCGCCCTCGTTGAGGCTCTATTTGCCTTAAGGCATATTCGCGGGCAGAAACGAAAGTCAGATAATGCCCATAAAAATGACATCCGTTTGTATAATTCACCTTTCGGAGTACATCATTATTATTAAGTAGTTACTGTAAGCTTAACCGAAAATGCAGTCAAAAATGTTTTAGATGTGCTAGACGACGCAAAACGGAATCTGTACAATCACCTCAATGCCATCCCCGTCAAACGCGTTGCATTTACTGACCAGCAGAAAGTGCAGGAATTTTCCAGAGATGGGCACCTCGGTGGTCGTGAGACCGCACAAATGTCTTGCCAGACGAAATCCAGAAGTGGTGATGCATTTCCAAAGCAACTGTGGTTGCAGATATTGCCAGATTGCCAAAGCCGAGTCAAAACACACGCTTGAGAAGGGAATAATCAGATCATCTAAAAGTTCATGGTGTTCACTCTTGCATGCCGAAAACAATGGTAGTGGCTGGAAGCTTTGTAGTGACCACCGAAAGCTAAACGCTACAGCGATCCCAGATCATTGCTCAGTCCGTCACGTACACGACTTGACTGCCGCGCTGAAAAGTGCTACGGTCTTCAGCAAACAAGACCTGACACGCGCTTATGATCGAACTCCCACACGTCCAGATGACACAACTCGGTTAATCCTAACTTCTCCGCTCGCCTTTTGGATCGTGAAACGCCACACAGACCCTCCAGCGTTTTATCCACAACGTCTCGCGCGGTTTAGATTTTATTCATGCCCACCTTGACGGTGTCTTAATTGCAGATGTGGATGAAGGTAGCTATCACATCCACTTGTGGTGAGTCTTCTCAAGGCTTGTCGAGCACTCAGTTTTTGTCAATCTACCCATGCGCCAGTTTGGTGTCCGTTTACTAACCACCCTTGGCCATGTAACGGATGGGACTGGCATAGGCCTACTACCTGAGAAGGTACAATGGATTCAGGAGTTTCTGGTGCCAGCATCATTTAAAGCGCAGCCTAGAGACGGTGACTTATTATCGTCGTTTTGTCCTCCGCTGTGCTCACACTTAAACTGCCCCAGCTAACCTACTTAAAAGTAAGTGTAAGACCGTCGGCAAGATTCCTGAGGCATTGGAGGGGTTTCACACGGCTAAAAATGCAATGGTAGGTGCCCTAATGCTGGTTCACTAGGTTGTAAATTTTCCTCTGGGCATTGCTGTTGGTGCACCCAACACGGCCATTGAAGCTTCATTGCGGCAACTTCCAGATAACACTTGGATCCCGTTTACATTCTTCTCCCCGAAGCTATCCGCCTCCGAAATGCAAATGTATATAAATCGTTAGTTTTTGCACATATTCGCCTGGACAATAAACTTGCATCACTTTAATTGCTTCTGTTCTGTTTTGCAGGAACCGAGTGACCAATTAGAAGTCTACTCACCTCGGGAGTATACCTCACTTACCATGATTAATCACTGCACACTGCATTCGAGTCTGCTGCTTCAAATTGTGATGTTGGTACGGCAATAACGTGTGTTTCCCCATTTGGCCTCGAGAAGACTTCTACCCGTGACTCCCGCTCACTGACGTCCACAAAACACAACTATAGTTGTATTGAAAAAGAAGCCTTACGTATGATCTTTGCAGCCAAGAAGTTTCATAAAATGATGTGCAGACGACGGTTCACAAACCTTATTAACAGTATTTGGTTCCGTAAAAGGGTATCCTAGTTTGCATCGTGAGTTGCCTTCAACGGTGGGCTACAGCGCTACTGCGTCACGATTTTGGCATCCAGCACCAGTCCACAGGTAATATCTATCAGATGGATGTCGTCTTCTGACTAATTAGTTCTCGCCACTTACGAAAAGAAGACACTAATTGGAGGCACGGAAGTCGAAAAGGAAGCTCAACAAATCCTGAGAATAGGAGCAAGGGAATTACCGGTGCCTTTTAAGGACATCAAATCTGCCGCCAAAGGAGAGTGGGTATTAAAAGATGTTAGAAGCCTTCTAAGGACAAAATGGCCAACATCATGGCACACTGACGACCTGAAGCAATGCTTTCGCCGCCAGGGCTCACCTTCCATTTTGAACCATGTGTCATGTTTGGTGACAATACCCTATTGCCAGAGAGCCTTTGACAACACGTTTAGAACCGATTCCATGGTGCCCATCAAGGCACAACTAGAATGGAATATCTGCACGCAACCATGTAAGTTGGCCTAAAATGGACAGAGGAATCAAAAAGATGTTTAAGAGTTGTCTTAGCTGCACTCTTGCAGCCGGAAGTCTACCGAGGTCTCCCTCACTGCAATGGCCGGTGACCGAAACTCCATGGCGGACGATTCATGTTCACTTCTTAGAACAAACAGAAGGGGAAATGTATCTTATTATTGTGCCGAAATGCCCAAATACGCCGTGGAAGCTAATTTTACCAAAGTGATTAGTTTGTTAAACTGGTTCAGCGTTCCACAAACCATGGTGACTGATGGTGGCACAAAACTTACTTCGTTGACATTCTCAGCTTTTTGCAGACATGATGCAACCTAGCACTTTCGACCACCACTTAACATCCACAATCAGATGACCAGGC